TAGTCTTTGGCAATAGCCATTCTAGTTCCTCTTTGAATATACATACTTTCTTCTATTTTTTCACTTTCTTTTTAATATAGATTCCATGAATTTATGTATCTTCTTCCATTTTATGTCCTTGATAGGTTGAAGAGATCTTCAATCTTGAAAACACATCTTTTTGAGCTTTAGCTCACTTTTTTTAGTATTGGTCTTATACTAATTTAGTTTAATTAAATTCTTATTAAAAATCTTTTGTTCAAATTCTTATTTAGTTTCTTGTATATTATATTTATGATACTTGGTATATCAAAAGTGGTATAGAATAAATTAAACGATTTTTATAAAAAAAAATCTAACAAAACAAGTCAAATGTACCTATATATACAACTATGCTATATGATAATACTATAAATTCTTTTAAAATCTTGGAATCCACATTCAAAAAAAGCTACTATATTTGGTTTTTTTTTATTTTCTTGTCAAATTCTTGAAGTACTTTTATTTTAATTTAAATTTAAATTTTAGATTTTATTTTTATTTATTTATTTTTAAATATATTATAATTAAATTCAACCAATCTCTTAAAGTTTGATGCCTTTAAAGCCAATAGTAAAAACAAACATTATTAAACTAAATTATTGAGATAAAAATTACTTTTCATGATTTTTTTATATTAGAATAATTCTTTTAACTTGTGTTTTTTTTAAAAAATATATCAAATTTAATATATCTTATCTTTTATTAATTAATTTCTATTTATTTAATATTTTTAGTCATAAATTAGTAGAAAATTATAAGAAAAAATAATATTAATGCAACTTTAATAAATCACATGTTAATACATTTACCAAAGATAATATATTACATTTATTCTTAGCTATAACTTATTCTTTATTACTATATAAAGCTTGGTATTTGGATTAAGGAGCAAGCTAATATATGTTGACTTTGATTGATTGATTTATTTATTGATTTATTTATTTATTTGTGGTGACCATCAATAGCTTGTTACATCCAAGGAAATCTTATTGGATAGAAATAGCTCTTGTAATGCTTTAAACTTTAATTCTATATTTCTCAAACTTGCAAATAGATAATCCTAGTTTTTTTAAGATATTTTATATGTTTTGATTTAATTAAGAGCATCTTCTTTGTAATATAAATCATAAATACTAAAATAAATTTTATAATCCTAAAATAAATAAATTATATATATATATATATATATATATCTCTCTCTCTCTCTCTCTCTCTCTCTCTCTATATATATATATATATATATATATATCATAAAAATAAAATTTAAAAATAATAATCAATATATAAGTTTTTATATCTCAAAATCCAAACATTACTTTTCTTTGAGTATTGATATTGTTCCTAATATTAAAATTAATATTACTATACTATCTATCAAGTTTAAATATTTCTTTTTATATTGACACCACTGACTTAGTCATTTTAATATTTAATCTTTAAATAATATGCAAATTTATAGAATAGTTATTAAAATTCTACATCTTAAATTTACAATTCTAATTTTTTTAGCTATACTCTTGATAAAAATTATTAAATATCATCATTTAATAATCTTATTATTAGAGCCATGTCAATTTTTAGTCTTATATAAACCAATTGATGTGGTCTTGTGCATATTTCTTCATTTGAAAATTTTCTTTCTTTATTTATTTTTTCTTTGTTGATGTTTGTTCTATACATACTATTGTCTATTTCTTTTAAAAATAAATCAACTACTTTCTAATACTTTATCAAATATAATTTTTTTATTAAAAATCAAATTAGTTAAAAAGAACTTAATCTTATGTTTTATCAATAGGAAAGAATTTTCTTCAAACATATCCATAATTTTTTTTAGTAATTATGGCATTTAGTGTCATTTCACTAATTCTTATAATCTAGCTTAAAATAGTATTTTTAATGCAAAACTAGAAGTATTATTGAATCAATATGCAATATGCTCTAACTTGATTATTTAAATAATATATTTTATGCCAAAAAAATTAATACAACATATTACTTATAAAATTTCTTCTATGCTTAAATTTAATCATATTTTTTGAATTATAGATACATCACCAGCCTCATATAAGTCATTTACATATTTTTGAATGTCCTACATACAAATATATTCTTAATGAAAAGTGAAAGAAGTTTAAAACTTGAGCTATGATGTATGTGTTTGTGAATTATGGAAATCATCTTGGCATTAAAAGCTACTAATTGTGTTAACCAAAATAATTTAAGCAACAATGTTATTTTTTCAAAAGACTCTTAATTACTAAAAGAGTTACTTTGAATTCTTTTTTATCCTTAGTTTTAATAATGGACATTTATTTTTTAATAATCTTCTTGTTTAATCCAACAATTTACATTCAACTTTCACTCAACTTCTAAATTCAATTTTTAATTCACTTTAAAGAAACCTTTTTGATACATCTAAATAGTTAAATAAATTAATTTTTTAATTTTATTTTTTTTACTATCTTCTATTTACAAAAAAAAAAAAATGATCTCATGTACTTTTTTTCAAAATATTTTTTTCATAGTTTTGGTAATTAAAATTATTAAAAATTCTTTAATGTAAATTTCTTTAATGCAAATCTTAATTATCTTAATTATCAAGGATATGAATTGTGAAGAAAGAAATCTCCAATACACTCTTCTGTCACTTGAAAAGACTAAGAAATTACTCAAAGATGGTAATATATTGAACTAGAATGGCTATTGTAAAAGACAAGAAAAATAGAAAGTCTTGAAACAAGACTAAAGACTACAAAGGTGTTGATAAGAGTGAAGAAGGACTCACTCTTGCCTCCATATATACTATCTAACTATGAGCTAAGTGGCAATATCTTACATGATCTTTAATGCATGTTGATTTTGCTAGACACATGTCTTAACTTCCAAGGTAAGTTTGTTAAATGTGTGCCACATAATTAACTTGTACTACAAACTACCAACATGTGTAGCATGTGGTTAATTTGTTGACCAAGTTTCTAACCTATCAATCAACTACAAATACATATAAAGTCAATATTACATCTATGAAGCTTCTAAAAAACTTTTCTATAAGATATTATGAAATTAATCTATATTTACTTATTTTTACTTAATCATATAGGTAATTATTAGATTAAATACGTATATCCATGACATTAATCGACTAAAAATCAATAAAAATCTATTAAGTTTTATAATGATACAACCTTTGCATGTCTTTAGGATTAAAGTTTTTAAAAACACTCCAATTCATGCTTTGTTCACTAATTCTAATTCTATTTGTTTGTGCAAAGCTTTGGAAAAATAATATGTATCTCTTATTGCAAATGAAACATAGATATTAATAGATTTTCCTTTTAATTGCTTCATTGTTAACACTCAAAGGTTAATTTGTCACAAGTAAAACTTTGATGGTACTTTAATTCAATATAAAGCATATTTTATTGCTTCTAGTTTTTTTCAAAAATAGGCCTTAATTATAAAGATTTTTTTTATCTTACAAAAATGACATTATTATGTTTCTTTTTTTATCCTTTGTAGTAACAAAGACAAAGTCTATTGATTGCTCAAAGCTTTACATGATCTTAAATAAATCTTTATAGTTAGATTTAAATTATTTAACAAGTTTCTAATCAATCAAAGGTCTAATATTTTTAAATCTAATACAAATATTTATATCTATTATTTCCACTCAATATTCTTTATTATTTTCTTTTACATTAATAATCTTATTCCAATCTTTAATAATTTTTTAATATCTATCTGCTTATAATGCTATCTTTTTTCAATTCTTTTTATGATGATCATAAAAATAAATTCTTATTGGATATCCAAATTTGATGAGATTACAAGATAAAAATGCTTGTATTAAGACAAATATATTAATAATATCTTCATTGAGTTTAATATGACTAGCTCTAAACCACTCTCTACACCACTTGAAGCAAGTATTTAATTTTCTTAAACTAAAGCTAAGAATCTAAGTTCTAAAAGATTACTTTTATTGGCCTCAGTTCCTTATATCTAAAATATCCAAAATTAGGTAAGAAATAGGTAAGTAGCTACAGTCGCCAAAGAATTACTTTGGCTGAAATCTCTCCTTTCTGAACTTGGATTTCATGTCCATATGTTTCATATATTTTATTTCATGCCATCAAACATCATTTTTTACGGGGACAAGTTGATTCTCAAGCTATTCAGCTGGAGTTCACTCCCCCATCTGAAATGTGGGCGGATATACTTACAAAATTTTATCTCTCCCAAAGCAGAATGCTTGTGCTGAACCACACATCCTTTCACAATCAGCCTCTCTATCTTGATGAAAGGGGAGCTGAATATGATTCATCAAATATATACATCGAAGGTCAATCAAGTTAACGTGAAAATCAAATCAAGTTTTAGTCTCAACTGCAGCTGGAGAGGATTAAGACAACATTAGTTTATCCAGTTAGATTATCAGCCAGCATCAAGTCAGCTTGCATCTGTTCAAATAATCAAGAGTCACAACCGTAGCTCTAACCAAGAATCGCACCAGGAGATAATGTCAAGGGTGAGGATGAGCATAATTAGGTCTGTGTTGACAAAACTGATGACGAACTTAAAAGTGAGAATCTTCAGCCAATCAAATGATTTAGAAGTTGTGGTTTCTCGTCGTCTGTTTTACATACGAAGATCTCCTAAGCATGAGTTAGTTTTGTATATATTGTAAAATATTTTTGTATTTAATTTTGATTCATTTTAATATCACTATTGTTCATTAATTTCAAGTACGTTTGATGAAAGACATTTAAAAAAAAAAAAAAAAAGAGAAAAAAGAATGCATTGTAGAGATTAACATATCATTTAAATAATAGTATATTATATTATTAATTCAATTTGTAAAAGAGTTGCACAAATGGTCACTTCTTGCCAAAAATTACAATTCAAAGATGTTTATGAATTTTAGGTATTAAAAATTCATAAAAAATTATCCAAAATAAGATTAATGATAAAATCTGTTGAGAATGATAACCATGGTCTTATGAAGTATTATCAAAGTGGTATCTCAAAGTGTGTCATGACGTCATGGAAATCTCAAAGTCCAAATTGAAGAGAGCAAGGAGCCAATCACATCCACGCCGACAATGGATGAAATAATACCAACGAACGAAAAGACGAGCAGATGAATGAAAGAGCATTGGAAGTTGGGAGGGGGGCTCATCATCCTCGGGTAATCCGCCCCCCCTTGTAGTCAAATTGCGCATGTGCCCCCTCCCTCTCCCCCTGGCGGCGGATAACGACTCCGACTCACAGAACAAGATGCGCCACTGCCACAACAACAACAACACCTTCAACAACAACAAGCATAGAAACGAAAACAGAAACACAAATATTAAAAAAAACTAAAATAATATGAAAAATAGAAACAAACAAACAAACACACCCCAGCTAAGACGGTACACAACCGACTGAATCACGGCATCACCTCACTTGCGCTATGCAGTGAGTGAGTGTCTAGACACTCACGATCCTCGTCCTCCTCGTCTTCGGCGCACAGAACATTCTGCAACACAAGACAACATACCCAAAATTTTACTTACAAACTGAAGCAAATAAACGAAAATTGCCTTTCCCGCACAAAGAAACTGAAGCAAATAAACGAAAATTGCCTTTCCCGCACAAAGAAAAGTAAGTGGAGTGGAGCAGCGGAGAAGAGCCTGCGCGCGAGGCAGCGAGGATCGAGAAGGCAGTGAATCTGGGCAGGGAGAGAGGGAGGGAGGTCGGGGTTGGTGGGGTGCATGGATCGATCGTTGACCAGAATCTGCGAGGCAAAGGGGGAGCGGGGGGGGAGGAGGGAGTGGGGAAGCTCGACCTGCGGGACCACGAGACGTGCGCGCTGCACACAGTGGGAAAAGCTGCTTGGCGGGGGAGTAGTTGCCCACTTCCCTGCAGCGTTTCCCGGACGCCGGTTCGCCCTGTTGATAGCAACCTCTGCTACCAAGTCGTCTCGGAAGAAGCAACGTTTGCGTTTGAGGAGGTGCTGCGTTCGCGCTCGTTTGTGGTGATTTTCCTTTCTGATCAACCCGGGGTTTGTGGCGAAGGTTGTGATGGTGATGGTCCAGCCTCTCGTCGATGCTTCCTTTTGGAGACTATTCGGCGTATTTGTTGGAACTGTAATTGTCGAGCTTCGAGGAGGTCGATTGTAGGGAGGTCGTGGTGGGGTTTGGATTCGCCTAATTTTTTTTCTGCAGGTAAGGCTGGACCTGCAAGTTCATGTTCACAATTCGGCTGGAACTGACGCCTGCGGACTGATATACTGCGTTGATGAATTCTCCTCTCCGCTTTTCCTCGTTGTAGTGAGGACTCTGCGAATTTGTGGACAAACCACGAAGGCTGCGTCATTTACAGCGCTTCTATTTGTGTGTGTGAGTGTAGCGGATGGTTTAGAGTGGACGGGGAAGCACCGAATTTTTATGCAGGTAGAATTGTAGTGGCAAGGGTTTCAGGCACTCGCATTCTCCTTATCGGCCTGTGCTGTGGTGAGGAGCACAAGACGAAAGCGCTTGAAAAAACACGCTTCTACTCATACTCCAAGCCTTGGAATGGGGCTAATCATGTGCTGACTGGTAGCCCCGTTATAAAAATTCTACTCGTAGGAATGATAGCCTCAAAAAAAAAACACATATTCTTAGCTATATCACTGCGTCGTAAGTTCGCAGAGCAAAATAGATTCCTTACCGATTAATTTTTTTTCTTCGTCTTTCATACACAAGGGTTCATCAGACAGTCTCGTTTGTGTTTTTGTATGTGTTGTTCTTGTTTTCTTTTTTTCTTTATTCTTTTTTCTATAAAAGAATTTCTCAGTGCTCACGTTTGCTGGAGCGAAATATTCTTCGTTTAACACGAGCCTTGTGTGATTTTCCTCCTCACGTAAAAGCTTCATTATGGTGTGCTCCGCTATCGATTGGTCTGTCATACAAATTCGTCGTTCTCTAAAATATGTGAAATCTAATGTTTAGACCGTCTGCAACGCTGTAAGCAGAGCTAGAAATATCCTTCCCGCTTTGTGAATGCGATTAATGACTCATTCCTAGGCATCTTGATGGGTCTTGAAGCTGGACTGTGCAAAGGCGAAGGTGGAAAGGTGGGGACCCAACTCAAACAATTCCGCACCAGATTTTGAGTGACATTTACAGATGTGATTCCAGCGGACTAAATGCTTGACAAGACGAAGGTGCTGAGCATGGATGGCAAGTCGAAGCGATTTGTGAGGTAATTTTCTGGATTTAATCGAATTCTGAAAAGCTCTTGTCGCCTACAAGGAACTGCACATTATTTCATTCCCTTTTCTTCTTCTCTAGTTATGATACCCATGGCGATGGCAGATTCCGGTCCGAAGCTCTCGATTCGCAAGACTCATTCGACGACTATACCAATGTCTTGCTTCGCAACCAACAGTCATTCGGTGGCGGTTCAAGTGGTTCCGAGAGAAGTCAGCAATGGGAGAAAGGATCCGTTCGCTGGTCGCGGCTGGGTGAGTCCTTCAAGTTTAAAGGCTCTTCCTCTCAAGGATTCTGTGAGAGCAATTCTAACCCCGGGAAAAGAAATTACTTGGATCCCACAAGTCCCTTACTGCACCGATGGAACATCTTCTTCGTGGCGTCGGGTTTGGTGGCCGTGTCCATGGACCCCCTCTTCTACTACCTCCCCACAGTGGACGACGCAAACAACTGCGTTCAAATTGATGGGGGGCTCAAGAAGGCCGTCACCGTGTTCCGCACCATGACGGACTTCTTCTACTTGATCCACATGTTTCTCCAGTTCCGAACGGCGTACATTGCCCCCTCGTCTCGTGTGTTTGGACGCGGCGATCTCGTCACAGACCCCAAGATGATCGCTGCTCACTACCTCAGAAAGGATTTTTGGCTCGACCTGGTGGCCGTGTTACCAATCCCCCAGGTAACGCTCCGCTGATTTCTCAATAGCAAACTCTTGTTTGTCCTTTTCTCGCCCGGTTCTGAAATGTTCCATGGCCATAGCAGTTTGTCATCTGGGTGGTGATTCCAAAGCTGGACAGCTCCACACCATCGCTGGACACAGAGAAAGCTCTTCGGTATGTGGTTTTCTTCCAATATCTTCCTCGCCTGCATCGTCTCTTCCCATTGACGAAGAAGATCATTAGTACGACTGGAGTGCTGATGGAAACAGCATGGGCTGGCGCTGCTTTCAACCTCCTCCTATACTTGCTCGGCAGCCATGTAAAGTTTCCAACGCCCTCTTTTAGAATCCAGCGTTGATCCATTTCTTCCAAGATTGATTTCGATGCCCCGTATCAACAATATATATATATATATATATATATGCTCAGTTTGGAACTCCAATCACTCGCAGGTTGTGGGAGCTTGTTGGTACATACTAGCGGTGCAGCGGCAGCAAAAGTGTTGGACTATGACTTGTGACAGGGAAAATCTGAACAAAACTTTAAACGTATTCTGCACACGAGATTTTATGGATTGCGCATCACTCCGAGGTCCTTTGGAAAGCACTCGAAGAATCTGGTTGGCAGGTACAGGCGAGGCGAGCACATGCAGTGTGGACAGTTTCGCTTATGGGATATACACCAACGCGATCAAGAATAAAATTCCCTCTGCGCCGTTTGTGACACGGTGTCTCTATAGCTTGTGGGTTGGCTTGGTTGCTTTGAGCACGTTGGCACAGACATTGTCAGTGAGCGGCTACATATGGGAGATCGTCTTCGACATCCTCATCATCGTTGTAGGCTTACTGATGTTTGCCTTCCTCATTGGTAATATGCAAGTAAGTTTAGCTTTTCAACCATTCCGTGCCACTCTGTCGAGCCTGTAACAGCTTGAGACTGTCTGAATCTGAATGACTGATTATTTGGGGCTGTGCTTTTGGTTAGACATACCTGCAATCTCTGACCAAGCGGTTAGAGGAAATGAGAGTGAAGCGGCGAGACTCGGAGCAGTGGATGCGACACCGCAGCTTACCGCAAGAGATTACGCAGCGAGTCCGACGCCACGATCAATACAAGTGGGTAGCAACCCGAGGAGTTGACGAGGACGTGCTCATTTCGAGCCTGCCGACGGACCTTCGCAGGGAAATCAAGCGCCATCTCTGTCTGAATCTTGTTCGAAATGTACCGTTTTTCGACGTCATGGACGAAAGCTTGCTGGATGCAATGTGCGAGCGCCTCAAGACCATCCTCTGCACCGAGGGCACCATCAGCCTCCGCGAAGGAGACCCTGTCAACGAAATGCTCTTCATCATTCGCGGAAAATTTGAAAGCGTGACAACGAACGGCGGCAAGTCTGGGTTCTACAACTACGGCGTACTGCAATCTGGGGATTTCTGTGGAGAGGAGCTGCTCACGTGGGCGCTGGATCCCAAGCCGCAGAACCACTTGCCAATTTCCACCCACACCGTGAAAGCTGTGATTGAGGTGGAAGCGTTTTCCCTTTCAGCGGATGACCTCAAGTTCGTGGCAAGCCAGTTCCGCCGGCTACACAGCAAGCAATTGCAACACACGTTCCGCTACTACTCGCACCATTGGAGGGCTTGGGCGGCGTCGTTCATCCAAGCGACGTGGCGTAGGTACCAGCAACGTCAGTTGGAGGAGCTGCGGCGCAGTCAGGAGGAGCAGAATCTTCAGGACGAGATACAGAGCAGAGGAGCCCGAACACAGCGGTCGCGCATCATGCAGGGCGACGAGCTCTTGAGAAACTCTAACATTCCCAAGCCAACTGAGCCAGACTTCTCCCGCGAGTAAACAACCGATTTCTCGCGGTGTCGGCACCATTCCCTTAGCAGAAGTATACTTCCTCGCATTGCATCGATTTTGGCAGCAGATTGTCGTTGAAGTGGATTGGTTCTTGAAAGACCCCTGGTGAATTAATATTCGCTGGACATTCTTCAACTTTTGAGCATCGAATTTCGAGGACAGACTGCCGGGGCGGTCAGCATGTGAGGAAGTACACCATCGCCCTGAAGTAGACTCGAAGCTGGACTTTGAGTGTGCCATTGGATTTCACGGCCCTTAGAAGACTTGTAGAATGCTGTTCATGTAAAGTAGTAAAGATAGGAAAGGAAGGACTGGGTGGCCTTTGAGCAGCATAGTTAGGAAGGAGGGTCAGTTGACGGAGAACATATTTGTTTTGTGTACAAGGATGAATTAGATTTTCCCAGCCTATCTTCAACATCAGATTAACCAGGAGAAGACGGCGTACAATGCTGATGTTGGTGAAGAGGGTTTGATTCGCGAGTTGCAATGTAGCTGGAGGGGTAAACCCTCAATATTGGATAGAATCTGAGGATTGTATACTGGTGGGAAGAACGATGTTAGATTGATTGATCCTTTACAGAATCTTTGATAAATTATACGTATGCATGTATAAAATAATGAAGATAGAATTTGATTGCACGTTTGGGGTGCTGCTCCTTTCGTTTTGTTTTCAGCAGCTCGCCTTTCCCGTTTTCATGAGCTTGCTTGAGCGAGGTTTTAGACGACTGGTTGCGGCGGTCACCCGTAGCTAACATTTACATCAGTTCTAATACATGTATTGAACCTGGGCATCACCTTCCGATTGCCCTCTCCGATGGTCTACATGTTGGTGAGCCAGGGTGGTGGGAGAAGGCGGTGAGAGTATCCATATTTTACATGATAAGAACTAGACGCCAATAAAGAGGCAAACGTGCCCTTTCAATGCCAGTCAGCAGGTGTCAAATATTCCACTAGAACCGAAATTTGTACGTGCTGTAATTGCTCAAACAACGAGAATACCAATGACGCATTTCAGTTTGGAATGGTGGCGCGACCGCAGACGTCACTGACACAGTCACCAAGTTGTGAATGAGAGCTTCTTTTACAAAATTCATAACAATTTGACTTATCAAAGTCAAGTCAACGGAAAGAGTCTACCTCGAACCAAGTACCGCATCCTCGGCTTCTCTACGAATACACAAAGAGATTGTAAATAATTTCGGAGATGGCCTTGGCGATGGCGGCGTACTGTGCTTGCCCCGGCTTGGCACTATCACTCCACAGGTTGCCGTCGTATGGCCATCCCATCCAACACCCCGCGTGCTTCTCAAATTCTCCTGCACCCCCACATTTCCTTCACGAAGGTCATGTAACGATTCCAGCAACCTATGGTACGTTTCTTTCCACGACCAGCATCTCATAGTCCCTTAAGGCTAAAACGTTCAAGCTCGCCTGGCATGGTGTAGCCCAGCTCCCTGTGTGTGGGCTTGGAAGCCATCACGATGTCAGCCATGATAGTCCTGCACAAAATCAAATCTCACATCAGGATTGTCACCACACACAAACCAACAAACAAACTGCGCATTGTGCCATGAACACGTCATCAACATGAAATGGTTGAAGAATCATTTCAGGGTCGCAGTCATCCTGTCACCGATAGAATCTAGAGAAGTATTCACCGATGGAATCTAGAGAACTATTAGCTCAGGGGCTAGATACATGGCAAACGGAATCTTACTGCTTTGGCCAAAAGATGCCTTAGAAGAAGGTCACCCCACACAGATCAACAGTCCAAGTTTGTGGCGAGGTGGCGCATGTTAGAAGATCCTACAATCTCAGTTGAGACACGAAGGAAGCTGCATGCGGCGGAGATCCACTTCATTAGTGACCCTCGCGGCATCGCCAAAGCTCCCAGACTGATTTGCTCACCATTTCTGCTCAACGCCGCCATACCCGGCGCTTCCACTAGCGCTACGCACCCTCACTCTCTATCAGAAGCTCTTGTCAGATCTCTTACCAGGCCAGGGTGAATTCCCTGATAGCCTCCCTTTATGGAAGCTACGCCCATATTTGTAATTAGTGTGTATCATACTATTTGGGAAGTATCTTTGAAACATGAGTGCTCAGTTAATGGTGTGTATCACATTAATTAAGAGTACAGATTAATAATAGGATATTTTAAATAGTGTGATACACACCGTTCAAATTCACACTATTCAAATTCACATTTAAATAGTATATAGATTTTGTTGTGAGAGTGGAAATTGTGCAGAAGTGGTCTTGTACTTTAGATCAAAACTCATGACAAGTCTCCCTAATGTGGTGTTTGGTGAGTATCAGCTTTGGTAAAGTAGCTTTGGTAAAGTAGATGCTTATTTCATATCAAATACAAATGGACTAGTAGAGTATTGGGCACTAAAAGTAGGAAAGAGAGAAAATAGAAATAAAGAAAGAGCACAATCAAAGTAGAGTAGGAACAGAGTCATTATGGTAAAACAAAGCAAAACAAGGCAAAATCAATGTCTTAAGCAAAGGTATTAGTGCAAAGTAGATGGAATAGGATGGGGTGAGACAAGATAGTGGTGGTGGAGGCAGCTTGCTGGCATGGATCCTTTGTCAATGCCTCTTTTTCTTCTTTCCATTCCATCTTGTGTGTGAATGTTTAAATTTCTCTTTTTAGAGAGTTGAAACCAAATAAATCAAAATAGTAAAAGTAACAAAAGTAAATAGTGTGTATCATAGCCAAAGAGCCTGTATCCTATGAATATTGTGTATCACACTAATTAGTAATACTCACTATTCAAATTTATGCACTAATTATGGATATTGGTGTAGCTAGATTGCTTGATGAAGTAATAGTGGTAGTAGTGGTTGTAGTGGCAAGCTATGTGTTTTTTTGTAAGTTGATATAGGTCATGGTGCCCTCCAAAGTAGCCATTCTATTTTCGTGGGACCTTGGTAGAAGGCTTTATAAGACAGTTAGTAATTAGCAATAAGACAAGTTAGTAATTAGCAAACATTGGAATAGTTTTTAAAGAAGTAAAGGATATATATATATATATATATATATATATTTATACACACACCATACTTTATATTAAAAAAAATTGGTGTATGTCCTTAAAATTCCATAATTGGTTTTTTGTTTGTTCTAGTAATTCATTGATTGGATGGATTTTTTATAAAATTAATTAATTCTTGATTAATAATTAAAAAAAGAAGATCTTTAAAGAAGTTAACAAAAATTATTTATTAAATTCTTTGAAGGAACCTATTTTAAATTCAAAAATTAAACTAAAATGTACATTACAGATTTGCAATTTTTCAAAACTGGTTCTGAATTCTTATTTACCATGAATTGCAAACCAAAGTTTTTAGTTAATAAAAATTGAGTAAAATTGATTATTGTTAAAAATCTTTTGTTGTAAAATTAATTATTGATTATTTTTTTTATATGTATGTATGTACATATAATTATTAATTAAATAAATAAAGTTGTAAATTGTAGAAGAATATATTGATTTGATTTAAAGATGGTAGTTTGAGTACAAGAACAGAGAAAACATTGATGATGGTGCAAACAATGACAACCTTAATTGTCAAGACGATGATCAAGCATTTAATCTTTTCATTTATCTTAGGATTGTTTGTTTGTATTATATTTTATTTTGTGGCTTATTATACTTTAACTGATATTTATCAACACAAAATCTTATCTTTTAAAATTCTATCATTTCTATTTGATTTTAGTTTCACTTTAATTTTTGTCTGTTTATTGGGCATAAAATGTATCATTGGCATGAGCACTTGTTAATTGTGTTTTTATATCACATTGTTTTCAATTGACTTGAGATTCGATTTTTTTTAAAGTTTGCATCAAATTTTGGAAATTTTTTTATTTTGAAATTGCATTGGCTAGGGTAATCTGAAATACAACATTTAAAGTTTGAGTTTATAATGGTTGATTAAATTATGATAGATAATTGTGCATTTGCACAGCTGCCCTTTTTTTCTATATACTAAATATTATTAATTTGTCACAGAATGAAAAATATATGAGATTTACACTGTTGTAAAAAACTTTTACAATGAATGATTTTTCAAAATCTACTAATTTTAATTTTTATATAGATAGAAAATTATAATACAAATTACCAGTAATTCAAAATAATTTGAGATGTATTAAGAAAAACTACACTATTTGAAATTTAATGAAGTAAATTTTCAATATCATTAATTAAAATGGGCCGGTGTTTCTTTGTATTCGGATTTAATTAGATTTTTTATTTAGTCAATGCATCAATAAAAGACTAACTTTGATAAAATTATAATTGTAAAAATCAAACTAAATTTTTCAAATCAAAAAAAAGATTGAGTATTTTATAAATTATAATAAAAAATAAACACACACACACACACACACACATATATATATATATATATATATATATATATATATATACATATATTGATTTATTTATTTAAGAATTTAAATTCCTTAATCATTTTAAAATCTTTAAAAAACTTATTCATAAATTTTATTTTTCTAAAATCTCTTATTTTTCTAGTTAAAATTTGCATGATTTATTATCATTTTTTTTTGTATCAATGTATTTTTAATTAAAATGTTATAAAAAATTGATTCCAAATCAATTGTATAAACACAATAATAAAAATAAGTATTTGATTTTTTTTATTTTTTTTAATAATATTTTTTCTTTTATTCACAAGTGTGATACTTGCATTGATTATAAATTTTTAACCATCTTTCTAGTATAAATTAAATTACAGCACAATAAGAGAACTGCTGTGTAAATACCTCCCTTTTACTACATAGACACACTCCTTGCTACACCAACAATACACTACTTTAAGTTTTTTAACAAGCTAGATACTAATGAGGTTAAAATATATATAAAAATATAAAAATAAAAATAACAAATCACAACACATGAACATTAGTGATTCCAAAAATGTACAAAGTAAAAAAATAAAAGAGAATGTCTACATATCAATTCCTCCAGGTAAACCCCCTCTTAGGTACACTACATCTCAATACATTGTCAGTTCACTAAAGGTGAAGTGTAATGCATTAATAATGCACTTTTTATCAAAGCACTGAAAAACTTTTGAAAGGGGGTACACAACGCAAAACTTCATGGAGAGTGATGTGAACAATGGAAGGAACGGGTGAATGCGCCCGGCCCGACCTATCAACCCGGTCCCCACCAATAATGGTCCCACAAGATGTCCATAAGTGAAGATTTCACATCTCAATCTACGAACCTAGCTGTGAAGTCTACGGGGGGGCACAGACTGGTCTACCAGTTAGTGTGGGAAATTCGGAGGCCCAGGTGCGCCATAGCCGCTGGTTTCGAATAAGCTCGGCTATAGCCATCGCCATAGCCATAGCCATCTGTCGCCATAGCCATAGCCATCTGTCGCCCTACCCGGCGCTCCGTTGCGCTCACTCTTGCTGCTTGCCTTTTGTTGTTTTGTGTTTTTTTATATATATTTTTTGTAGTTTTCCCCCTCTCTCTCCCAGTAGCTTCATCGCCTCTTCCTGCTCCCCGATTCTTACCATTTTCAAATGAGCTGGATGTGTCGCGGGCGCTTGTTTTGACCTTTCGAATCGCTGTAGGTATATTGATAATATGTCCATTAGGGTTTGAGTCTTGAATGCCACTGTGATTTTGCTGCACACAGTCCGCCCAGGGAGCGTGTTGAGGTGAAATGAGGGGGTAGAGTTCGCTCGTTCGTTCTTCTTCTTATTTCATTCTAGAATTTGGAGCTGGAAGGATCGGAGCTGTGCGAGGACGGAGGAGGTTAATCAGTTTGCAAAGGGACGTGATGGATGAGCGATGATGATGGACGGAGGCTTAGGCTAGAGGACATGCAGTGGAAGATCGAAACCAGTTGGTCTACGGTGTCTTGTTTTTGCCGCAAGCAAAAAGTTGTACTCTAGAAAAAAAAAAAAAAAAAAAAAAAAAAAAAAAAAAAAAAGAAAAAAGAGGTTGGGATCTTCATCTGTTCGATCTTCGGAAGGAGCGATCAGTTTCACAATGGGGACCAGATTGAGGTATGTTCCTTGCGCACATTTGTGGTCCTGACAAAGGATTGGATCAAATCACTTGTCTAGTTGTTCCCTGCAAATTTTGTAGTGTGCACCTTGATCGCTTCATCTCGCTAGCAGTTTAGATTCTTCGGCAGTAGATGACTTCCAAGTACTTTCTATCTTGAGATGGAACTTTCTTGGCATATTTTTCTTTTTGTAGTGGAGAATGCCATTCCTGGCCTGGATTCTGTGCTCCACTTTCTGGGCTGGAAAATCAACGAGATGGTAGTGTTCTCACAATCACCTCCGAGCTCACGTGCTCTACTACTTGAATTTAGTCTTATTTTTTTTTTTTTTTTTTTTTTTTTTTTACATGAAAGCAATCAAGGGACGCCTACATAGCTAGGCTGTTGTAGCAATCAGCATGTTTCGGGACGCGCGATGCTTTCATCTTTGAATTATTTTGGGCGTACAGATTCATGCGAGAAGTGGTAGCATCAGCTCGTTACCTTGTGTTTCCTTCTGGAATATTGACTTGGAATGGGATTGATTGCATGACTTTGGGTGCAATTTGAGAGTGATAACCCTAAAACCTGACAACAGTGAAGTGATTCGGCACTCACATCGACATCAGATCTTTAATGTTGGACCTAAGTTTGTATTGATTTCTTGTTATTGTATAGACGTAAAAACTAAGTTTATACAGATGAAGTAATAGTTTTACCACAGTGGCGGTATATCTGTGCGGACTTTTAGCTTGATTGGGCTTTTCGCGATGTGTCAATTCTTTAGCATTGGTAATTCGAAAGCTGATAAGAATGGCAGTACATTTCAGTTTGATTCGTAAGCTTTGTGGAAGCTGGCATGTTTTTGTGCAGGGACATGATTCGGTCCATTCGGGCTTGTAAAACAGCAGCTGAGGAGAGAAGTGTTGTGGCAAAAGAGTGTGCAGTACTCCGAAATGCTTTTAAAGATAATGATCAGGATTATCGGCATCGCAATGTTGCGAAGTTAATGTTCATTCACATGTTGGGCTATCCCACTCACTTTGGTCAGATGGAATGCATCAAGTTGATTGCTGCAGGAAGCTTCCCGGAGAAAAGAATTGGTTACTTAGGTCTTATGTTGCTTCTTGACGAGCGTCAGGAGGTGCTGATGTTAGTGACGAATTCTTTGAAAAAGTATGTCACCTTTTCTTTCCATCTGTAGTTGAGTTAATGTGACGGCCATCTTTCTTTACTAGCGTGTGGCGTGACGATGTGTTCTCGTACGAAGAAGCACTGGGGTTCTCCACGTTTTTTTAAAAAAATTCTATTCTGAGGGTACAGTGCTCTGGGGTTACATCTCAATTCAATTCATTGTTCATTAGATTGGCATATCAGACGCGTCTTTACCAGTACACGTGTATTTGTTGTTTTTTCTGCAGTGACTTGAGTCACACAAACCAGTTCATTGTGGGATTGGCTCTTTGTGCACTTGGCAACATTTGTACTGCTGAAATGGCAAGGGATCTTGCTCCTGAAGTGGAAAAACTTCTACACAGCAGCAATTCTTACATTCGTAAGAAGGTTAGGCAGGCTAACTTCTTTCTTTATAGCTATGGCACGAGTTTGATTTGTGTTGTACTCCTGAAGAATGTGCTTAATTCACATATTGAATCAATGTTGCTTATCCCACATAGATCAGGAAAATTCTATTACCTTTATTTAATTGGCCTTACTCTGTTCTGCAACGCTCGAAAGTTTTCTGCAGATATCATTTTACGACATCTACTTATCAGAACGTGCATTCGAACTCATATTCTCTCAACACGTGTGGTATCCGGGAGCTTGAATCTCCTCATCTGAAAAGTTGTGCATTTTCTGGTCTTGTAGGCAGCCTTGTGCTCTGTGAGGATTATTCGCAAGGTACCGGACCTTGTTGAGTACATGACGGTTCCAGCTACAGGACTTCTAACAGACAAACATCATGGTGTTCTGGTAGCAGGAGTGAAGCTTTGCACAGAGCTTTGTCAAGCCAACGAGCTAGCTCTTCAACATTTTAGGAAAGTATGTGCGAACAAAACTCGATAAGCTTGCAAACTTCTTAAGTATGTGTATCTTGATTATTTGCTGACGAGGGCATTGTTTTTTGAAAGAAAAATCTGTTTAATATCCTATGTGCCTGCTTCATTAATTTCACCAGTGATTTTGATTATTGTTCATTTACATGTGTGTGATACTGTCCGTACAGCACGTAAGCTCAATGGTTCGGGTGTTAAAAACCGTGGTGGTCAGTAGTTACGCTCCCGAGTATGATGTTCACGGGATTACGGACCCCTTTCTACAAATCAGGCTTCTTAGATTGCTGCGTTTGCTCGGGAAAGGTGATGCTGATTCCAGTGATGTTATGAGTGATATACTTGCTCAGGTAAGCAATCGCCATAGCCTTGCATCTTCAATGTGCCTCACTCCTGTAGCATATCGTTTAAAAATATCCTTGTGATTGAGCCCAAGAATGGCTTGGAAATTTTGTGTGTAGGTTGCAACAAATACAGAGGGCAACAAAAATGCAGGGAACGCAATTTTGTACGAGTGTGTGCAGACAATCATGGCTATAGAGTCTATTGGGGGCCTTCGTGTGCTTGCTGTTAATATTTTGGGACGCTTCTTGGCAAACCGTGATAATAATATAAGGTACTCTAACAATGCATCATTTTTGTTTGTTTAAGCTTTGAAGGATTTATGCTTTGCTATGTTATTACCTATTTTTGGTGTACTGTGATCCAAGAATTGGCATTAAACATCTTGTTTTGGAAGTCAATGCCCACTCCTTTAGGTTAGAAGACCGTCCCGTAAAGACGTCTTATTTCTATTGCAGATTCTCCTTCATGTCTCTAGGCAACGCCGTGTTGCATTACTGTTATCTTTTTCTTTTTCTTTTCTCTTGTAACTTGACTATGCAATTAATAGAGTAGCTTGTGTGTGACCGTCTACTGCAGATACGTTGCACTTAATACACTTGTCAAAGTGGTATCAGTCGATACGCTAGCAGTTCAGCGGCATCGTGCTACGATTGTTGAATGTGTTAAGGTATTAAGTGTACTCTTCCTAGCTGTATGAACTGGTTATTTCAACATTCCTGACCGTTTTTTAGCCAACAAGTGCCTACTTTTTCGCCTCATCAAATATTTGATGATCTAATTTTTTTTAAAGACATCCTTTATTGTTAAAAGTGGGGCATGTCTCTAGACCAGGTTTACCAGATAATAATTCCTCGTTTGTCGATATCTTGAATTGATTTTCGAAAATCGAATGCTAGTAATGTTGAGTTGTATTGTAATATCTTAAAATATGTTTTTTTCGAAGAGTAATACGTATTTTGTAAGCAAGTGCCAAGCCTTACCTTGGGTCATGGTTATTCATGTCTATAAATATGTAACAATATGCCTGGTTCTCGCATGACATTGCTTCAAACCTTTGTAGCATCTTCTTTTGCTCATAATGCTAAGAAGCCACCCCATATCTTGCACAGGACTCGGATGTCTCTATTCGGAGGCGAGCTCTGGAGCTTGTCTGTGCATTGGTTAACGAGACCAACGTCAAGGTCTTGACGAAGGAATTAGTTGAGTATCTCAAAGTCAGCGATCCTGAGTTTAAGGGAGATCTTACTGCAAAGATTTCCGGACTTGTTCAAAGGTAATTAAGTTCTTTATCCCTTTCAATACTCTTACGTCATGCGTTGCTTTTTTATTTCAGCATTGTAATGGGTTAGGCTTGTGAAGTTTGTTTTTGCATTTTATTTAGATTTTCGAAGTGGTCGCGCTTGGACAGTCTCTGTAATTCATTGGCGAACACTAACTTATTAATTCCTTGCAGATTTTCACCGAACAAGCAGTGGTATATCGACCAGATGATTTTACTTATGGTTGAGGTAGAGTTATTCATTTTTGCATTCAATTTTCATCCTTAACATCAGTGTCAGTATTTGCTATATCCATCCAGCCAATGCTCACTGCTGTCTATCGAGTTACCTTTTGTTTATGTATCGTGCATTGCGATCATTTCATGGTTAAAACATGTTTGCCTTGTTCTCGGTTTTATTGAGGAATTCATGTGTCAGACTGAGTTGAGTTCAAGTTTCTGAGCTGTTTACGTGTCCTTCCAGTTCTTGGGTTTGGGTCGGGATCTGACAGCTTGATTATGAACTGTTCAAAAGTGATTACAATTCTTGTGGTATTTCGAGTTTCACTTATTTCACATGAATTAAAGCTGATTTTCTTTCTGAATGTGCCAACAATGGCCTCGGATGTGGTGCACAGGCTGGGAAATATGTTACAAGTGACGTGACAAGATCTTTAGTGGTTGTTATAAGTAATGCAAACGATCTCCACGGTTATACGGTGCGAACTCTTTATCGAGTTTTTCAAGCGTGGGGAGGACAGGTACTTTCTGAGCTTTTTATGTCTTGAGAATGAGTACCCTGTGATGGTTTAGTATCGTGTGTTTACAAGTTAGGGAGCTCTGGACTGTATGCGACATCCATAGTGCTAGGGTTGGTGCATTGTGGAGGGAAACGAAATTCTGCCCTTTGAGCTGTTATCCAACAGAATTTCTCTTGATCCAGTCGCATTACTCTTGTTTGAGGTTGTGTTCTATTGTTAACAATTGGCTGAAATATGGCTATCAAATGAGGAGGAAGAATATCTAGGGACATTCTATGGTAGACAAAAGGGACTTCAAATTGACAGTTCGTGGGCATGGAGGAATACGATGACTTAACTGCCTATCAAAATGTGCTCTCAGAGACTGAATAGTAATGGACTCAGAAAACAAAGTGTTAGTATCCATTAAACACGCTGGGAATGCTAATTTGCTGACCACAGTTGTGTAGAAGCATGGCTACTTAGCTCTTTGTTGTATGAGCTCAGGAAAGTCTTGGACAAGTCACTGTTTGGTGTATTGGTGAGTATGGAGAGATGCTGGTCAACAATACAAATGAGGTGGAAGGCGAAGACCCTATCACTGTAAGTTTGGTTGCTGATATCATTCTGAGTGACTATTGCAGCGCACCTGCATGTATCTCGGCTTCGTTTAGTCGGAGTCCGTGTATTAGTGTTCTTTCTTGCTTTTATTGGCCGAAGCCATGAAAGAGGATTAAGTTTGTATCTGTCAGGGACTAATGTAGCCTATCTTTCTATCCAAAGAAATTCATAGTTCTGGTTTAATACATGTCATGCTTTTCTGCCAGATCTTGAATGATGGAATCTATTGTTCAAATGATTGTTGGGTTTAGTAATGTTTTCATGTTTTGACAGGTCACAGAATCAGATGCGGTGGATGTTGTTGAGATTGTTTTGAAAGATCCAAGGGTTACATCTACTACAGTTGCATTTGCACTTACGGCGCTCCTTAAACTCTCATCTCGTTTTCCTGAATGTTCAGAGTAAGTTTGAAACAAGTTCGTGCTAGTTACACGCTTCTGAACTACTAGGATATGGTTATTGTGTATTCATGACGTTTACGCCCTTACTTGATGTGACCGTTTTGGATACATCATGACTTTACTGTTCAAGCACATATCTTGCCATCTTTTGTAGGTTTCATTGTTTTTCATGTTTCTTTGTATGTCTCCTATCAGGCGCATCAAGGTCTTGATCTTGGAGCACAAAAGGAGTCTGGTACTGGAGCTGCAACAGCGTGCCATTGAGTTTGGATCGATTCTTACCAAGCACAATGACATCAAGTTAGTCAATTTTTCTGTTGTGCCCTCAAGTGCTTTCATACGCTGCGTTTTTAGGAAAATCATTTACTTTTCCACATATGGTATTAGATTGTGTTGGCATAAAAAAGATGACTCCTAATTGTTATGATAAGTAGTCATGTCTTTTTACGGATTTTTTCCTTTACCGAATGATTTGCCCTCAGCACTCCTGTTCACAGCTTCTGTCTATGTCATGTCTCAGGTCAGCACTTGTGGAGAGAATGCCGGTCTTAGATGAAGCGACATATACCGCCAAGTATGAAATGGGCGTTGATAGTCAACATACTACGACTACTACTGTGACTTCGGAGCCCCATGCTAATGGGCATGTCAAACAAACTAATGGAATCGGAAAACAACCTGATGCTACTAGTAACCTAATGGATCTGCTCAGCTTTACTGATACACAGCCACCCTCTCCGTTAAAATCTTCAGGAGATGCTTTGTTGGATCTCCTTGGTGGTGGTGGGCCTATGGATGCTCCCAGTTCTCTTCCTTCTTCGGGTACTGTCTGTTACCCAGTGGTCGCTCGGTCTTAGATTGCATGCTCTCCTAATATAGTTTAAGTTTCTCTCATTCCGACTTCAGGTACATCAGTAACAGAAATTAGCACCTCGAGGAAAGTTGAGCTTGTCTCGTTTGGCATACCCGTCTAACTTGTCTTTTGGGAGTCTTCTCAAGTAACCTTTTTTCTAAACCAAATGCCCATTTTGTAAATCTTGTTACACAGGAGGGACAGATATGTTATTGGACCTTCTGTCCTTGGATGACGGCCCATCGCCCCCTGCATCTACTGCCACCACCTCACTGGCAGGCCTACTAGATGTTGATCCAGTTGTGATTAATTCATCAGGTGATCTCCCTCGTAATGGAGGTGCTACCAAAGGTCCCTCTGCAGCAGTAGATCCCTTTTCAGATCTCGCAGCTTCAGCAATGGCTGCTCCCTCTCCTGCTCCTGGTAAGCTCAACATATATTAAACTGGAATCACATCACGTCTTCAGCGCACTGCATAAGAGACCTTGATGCTTACCTTGTGTTTATTCTCTATTCGCTCCTTTTGCAGGGATTCCATCGATTGTTGCTTTGCAAACAAGTAGGTTAAAGATTACATTCGACTTCACTAAACCACCTGGGTCTCCTCAAATGACTGTGATTAAAGCCTGCTACAGTAACTTGTCATCAAATCTTCTCACAGATTTTGTCTTTCAAGCAGCAGTTCCAAAGGTCTTAATTTGAATCTTTTGCTATAAGTTGATTCTTGTTTTTATTGTTTTCACTTCTTTACTTTTGTTTACAACGTCAATTTTCTAAATCTGATTATTATAATTTGCTTACCTCTGCAGTATGTGCACAGGATTGTAGCTATTCTTGTGTGAATTTTTGCAAAGCTTATTTTTCTTATATTATTACACTCTGTTCTTTGCGCAGTTCATTCAACTGCAATTGGATCCCGCTACTGGTGGTAGTCTTCCTGCTTACTCGAACAACTCGGTCACACAAGTGATCAGACTCACCAATAACATGCATGGACAGGTGCCAGTCGTTTTCTGTGCTCATTTACAAATGTTTCACCACTTGAGAATCGTACGAGATGCAGTCTCACTTATCTCTGAAGTTTGCTTCTGCATTCTGATACTTACTGGTTTTGCAGAAAGCTTTGGTGATGAAGTTGAGAGTAAGCTACAAGGTAAATGGACAAAATGTGTTGGACCAAGGGCAAGTTAATAATTTCCCAGCAGGTTTGTAGGAGGTTCTTACTACTGTTACCAGTCCGTGGTAGGTCATATGTCTGCTGGCAGGGTTTTCTTTCTCTTTTTATTTTTTCTTCTGTTCTCAGCTGGATATATTGTGATCTACAGTAGTGAAGGCTGAGCAATCACCAATTTATTTTATCTCTAGAGAAGGGTAGTTGGGGGCAGTGTAGATAGGTGTTTCAGAGTATCATTGGAAGTTTGTAGATGTCCTTCCTAGACCCATGATAAGGTAGAAGCAGTTTCTTGTATTGTTTACAAACACTAGGGATTCTGTAGACTGCTATCAGTCAGCAGTTTTGGTTAAATCATTAGGAAGAACTTTAATTTATTCACATGCTAACACCAACCAAGCACAGTGCCAGAGACGTAATTGAGACAGTACCAATATGCACAATCGTAGGAGCGATTGTTAGGTCTAACTTATCATGCTGGGTTTGGTCTCCAATCCAATGTGGGCTTGTAGAATTGTCTGTTTATCGAAGATGCTAGTTTTTACTGTTGGAGCTGAGAACTGAGCATTATTTCTGTTTTTATCATGTAAAGCTCTTTGTTCACTCAAAGGTCAGGTCCATTGTTGAAAGCTGCTTCAACTGATGATCCTGCTTCTGATTCTGGTAGTTGTCTTTATGTTCAGCGAATCCTTGTTTTTATAACATTAATGGTCCCGCATCGTATGATTTGGTATGGAGGACTTTTGTCACAGGGAGTTATGAAGGATTTAAGGATTGGCTCAATTGGCGAAGCCCCTTGAAATGTGAGAAAAATGTAGATTACTACTATCCCCAATTCAAGCTATGCTCCACCTGCCTCAAAAAATGCGCAGGAAAGGGAGTACTCTATATTTTACTTCGAGGGCCGGTATCGCTTTTGACGAGACGCAATAACTTTTAGCACTTCTCAATTCACAAGTTACCATGAGCTAAATTCATCTGAATTTGTTGTGCCAAAAAAGACAGCAGGCATACAAAATAGTAACAGGATGTTTTCATGTGTAACTTCTTTGGTGCCAAATCTTCCGCCATGTATCAATCGTGCCAAAATATGAATGGAAGTGAAATGTCGAATATCAAATTTAATTTTTGATTGATAAGAAGTATTAGACCTTGATATTAACTAATAAGATGCTGAAATAATGTTTTTGGAATAAAACTCTGTAAGAGATATTAATTTGTTTATTTGTTTTGCATAATGTGTTGATGAATTCATAAACATGGATGAATGTAAAAATGAAGGTGAATTGGTACTCAGGTCATATTCAACATCAAATAAATAACAGCTTTTATTACCCTCAACATGTATCAAAGAAATGCATTGTTTTGCCCTTGAAGTAAATTTTTTGCGTGTTGTGTAGAACATATGCATATACGTTGCATCCAATACATCAAGATACTGAACATAAAATTTCAAGTTAGATTAAGCTTTTTATTTGTTTTCATTTCCATAATTTCAACAGAAAATCCATTAAAAAAAACATATACTGTCATGTTGTGGTTTAAACGACTAGTAGCTTAGAAGTTACTATGCTGTGAAACGCATGACACTTCTAACTATTTTAGCTTTTCAGTTTTATTTTATTAATGCATGTGATATTTCAAAAATGATATTGTAATAACAAATGTATAATGGGCTCTACAATGCATTATAAAAGAGTACATCCCCAAGGAAAATTGTGTACAAACCATCCAGAAAAGAATTGTCTATTTATTGCTTTGAGTATCTTATTATTTGCACTGATATCTATCGATGTATATTTTATTTTAAGAAATATTGTGAGGAAGTAATTGGGTTTCGAAACAATGTGAAATGAGTTATACCAAGAAAATAATTTTATCACAGTTTGAAGAAAAAGCTATATCTAAAATGCTTCTTTTAAAATGTACACAAACGCATCATCATATAAACTCTAAAAGGTCTCGAATCTTGTATAACTGAGAAAAAGGCCCTTGTGCAAGTCGCTAAATAAATACGAAGTTGTGAACCCACAAAATGAGTCCAGCATCTTATTTCTCTCTCGGTCATGTATTCATATATACTCATAGAGAATATTGAAACAGGTCGACATGAAACCATTGGGTGCTACATACAACCTCGGCTTGCGTTTGGTGTATCCACAATCGAAGCAGACGATGTGTATACATGAACAATGGGGCCTCGGTGACCTGAGATTCATGCCGAATCCAGTTTCGTTTAGCTACGATCGGAGAATCCGCATCGTCACATTACTTCGACGTCATGAGTCTGCAAGCAAGGGCATCGGCGTTGCCGCTTCCAGACATGTGCAGTGTCGAAACCTGCTACAGTTGAAATCTGTCTTTGAACGAGGTCTCGGCGTAGTTTGCCATCCTCGTCGGGTAATCAAATTCAAACCAACACACGTATGAACAAAAAATGGCATTGATGGGTGCCTCGCCCCTCTTATCAGCTGCTGCTGCTGCCTGGTTGCTGCAAGATACAAACTAGTAGAATCGGTCTCTTATGAGAGAGAAAGGAGAAAACCCGTCCCTTCTGCTTCCAATCACGCATAACATGACCTGGCAGTGTGGCGCAATTGGATACAACCCGGTTGTCTTCCTGGCGCCCTGTACAGTCGGCATTTATTGCCACAGTTAATGCCCGTCGCTTAACTTGGTTGGTCAATTACCACAGTGCAGGCTCCTTCGCTCTCTCTATATTTCTCGCCTTTCATCGAATCAGAAGCCGTTGGCAATGAAAACGTTATGATCTAGATTCTCGCAAGTAGGGGCTTCTTTAATCATGCAGTTTGGGAGGAGTTGCAGCAACCGGTGCTCGAGGTGGGCACTGATAACAAGGTGCGAAGATACCGAAGGTGTCAATCTGCTGAATGAAGTTGGTGACGCTAGCCCATCCACCCCAGCCAATGCCGATCACAATAATCCATACCACAATGAATATGTTGATGAGGTAGACTCCAGTCCAACTGGGCAGAAAGAAGGGCGGCTTCTCAACCGCATTCTGGAGATTTACAATGGCCCAAAGTTTGTCAGATTTCTGTCATTTGTTTAATGAATAACCGAGTAAACACAACTTGACTCGCGAAGAGAGGTAGAGTTCGTTGATTACCTGGCGGGCTGTTGCACCGCGGTACACGACCATGTGAGCGACACAGGGGATGATGTAGACGGTGAAAGTAACCAGAAGGGCTCCAACGGTGGAGTTAATGGGTCCGAAGAATGGGAATGCAATGGCGAAGAACCACACTGGTAGTATCACCGGCATTCGGCATACCGCTCTCAAGGGAAGACTCTTCGTGTTGTGAATCCCGATCACCTTCTCCCACACGAAGTACAATGGAGTGACGGCAAAGCCAACAGTGATGAACTGCAGCAAGATTTTCAATGTCGTTAGACCCTTCAGAGAAGATGCTTCGTCCACAGTAAGTAGCTTCAGTCCTGACGTTCAGAGGATTAATATGGCACATCGACGAATAGTTTTTTAGAATGATGGGTGCCTTGAGTACCTGGTGAATGAGCATCAGAACAACAGCTACGTCACGAGCCATGGTCCTCGGAAGCAAGGACAGTGCGTTGGAGTGCCTAAGAAGGTCGTCACCGAAAGCCCAGTACACGGCCACGGCAGAAGGGATGGTCAAGGTGAACACGTAGAGTGTCGCTAACACATATACGTACTTGAACTTCACCGGTTTATACATTGCGTGCATGATCTCTCTGCGAATGACATACACATCCAAGAAAGTTCCTTTCACAGAATTAGATGGTCTAAATATGCAGGTACACAAAAAAAATATTCGAAAAGTGCACCGATAAAAACTGGTCCTATCATGATTAAACAAGAGAACTGAAAACTTGAACATCAATAGGAGAATCCTAGTCCCTGGGTCAATTACTTACACAGTAACAGCGTGGCCACCGAAAGTATACAGAATGTTGGTTGCTCCTGTGAAGTACAAGACCTTCGTTGTCGGCGCCGTATGGACGACATTGGCAACCTAGCTCCATCACAGTTCAGAACCTTGTTAGGAGTATGAGAGCAAAATTGATGGAAGGATTCTGTGACTGAAAACCAGTTGCAATTTATACCATTGAAGAGGAACAGTTCGTCACCTGGCCATGGGCAAGTGCAGCAATTGTCATGTACCAAGCTGTGTAGGAGATCATAATGAGGCCGAAGAACGACCAGAGCCGGTAGTTTCGGAACGATGGCACCAGCACAGTGAGCATGCAACAGGCCCCAAAGATGTAAGTCCACTCCCTCTTGTTCAAATGATCGTTGATCAGAAAGATGTTGCTGCAATGTCCAGGAATTACAAATGTTACTGCCAACCACAGGATAAGCTTTCAAACTGCACAGATTAGCCATCGATAAATCCCCCACGAATAAACCTAAACACAGAAGACGGCAGCATGGATAAAAAACGAGGGTGCAACTCTGCACTGAGCACAATTTTTCCGCAGAATGAATAAGCTTGCAGTCACTTAAATAGCGAGGAGAGAAAGTAGTTGTAGAAAGTTGCATCCTGAAAGGTACCCAAGTTCAGACCTAGATCATAACTGAAGTGAATATATTACAACTGAGAGGTACCAACCTTGAAACAACTACAGTGACAGTCTTTACCATCAAGGACTAACCCTAGTCTAGTCACCAAATCCACTACATGGAATGTCCAAAAAAATTATTGAAATCTAAACTGTTCACGAAATTGTTTTCTAAATTCTTCGTTTGATTTGTATCTTTTTATATATCAGATCCATACCTATGATAGAAATTTACTTTGTGATTTACTGAAATCAATAAATGGGAAACCTCAACCAATTCTTTCTACATTTATCTAGATAGCTGTGGGCACACGACTTATATAGGATAAATAATTCGAACTGGAATATTTCAAATCTAATGCACATTGCCATTTAATTATAACATTTTAAATTAATCTGAGTTTTGCAAAAGTATTCTTGAAACGGCGTAATACATCAAAATAACTCTGCTAACATCCATTCACAGGTGGCTAAGAAAATGCTGTTTTGACGGAGAAGTTAAGTTAAAATGGTGATATACACAGAGATGGAATGTCTAACGTCTAAGTACTCATGGGTGTGCTGTACGCAGACCTTGAAGTAGATTCCATGGCTGTGAGAGCGTGTTTATTCATAACATCAATGACTGCATCTAACTTCGCTAGACGTGGACGCACGTGTATGTTATCGATTCAAACCCATCTTCTAGAGGAATCAACTGGGCAGAACGTCTTATCGTGATATACCATTCATTCGTTTTATCTGGGGTTTATATCTAAGAGGTGAAGCTTACCTTGCGCAAGCAATGAGCTGGATCACCGCCCCGAAGAGAAGGAAGGTGCAATTGAAGACAAGCCCAAGAATCTTCCAGTTACGACCCAACAAGCCGTCCAAAACCTCGAACCACTGTTCACAACCGTCGCCAGCACATCGCAGCAGGGTTACTAAGCAACAGGAGGGAGCCTTTACACCTAAAAACACGATTGTCGTGATCAGACAACTTCAAGTTTCATTGGGATTAGCTTCAACTCACCTGAATGACATGATTCTTGAAGATGACCCCCTCCCTCTCCTTCCGAGTCCGATACTCAACATAGAGCCAAGTGATCATGTAACACGACCAGCAGCCGACGACGCCGTAGAAAAGTTGGAACGCTACCCCAGAGGCGTATCCGAGCTGGGCGAAAGAATATGGTAGCGTCAGAAGTACTTGCGCGACCTGCGTCAGTCGAATTGGCAAGTAGACAATAGAAATTAGAAACAATCATAGTAAATACTACACAACACCGCTAGAACTGTTTCCCACCTCATCACAACGTTGCAGGAATCAGGGAGAAAGACACCCACGGCTGGACGTAACAGGGCCAGCCCCTTGCCAACCACCGAGATTAAAACTTGATCCCAAGATTCCGATACGATTAAATGGAGTCACGATTGCAACCATAGCTCTAGATCAGGAATCACACAGCGCAGGACGTGGCGATGAGGATTAGTCTAAAAGCCGTGTCTTAACTAGTGGAGCTTCGGTGTCAATAAGAATGCAGAAACAAGACCCAACATTAATGGACACAAAATCATTCCAGCTGTGACTGTATTCTCATTGCTGGAATAAAGAAAAAAGAACACCTGTCTAGTGATTCTCTCGCGCAAACCTCTATGAAGCCTCAAATGTTTTCTAGAAAATACACAAATTCCAGAGAATAGCAAATTCCGTGATCTTCAGGTGTACTCAAAATTGGACACGTGCATCCCGACGAGAATTCCCATCAGCCGCCCATCATAAGGCATTGGTTTAAAGGTGAGAGTAGAGCTATAATCCATTTTTCGATCTGCTGCTGGCCGGAAGAATGATCACCTGGTTGGACGCGGCGCTGAACCAGGCATCCCAGACGGAGCCGCCATGCCACAGGAGCCGCTTCATCTTTCCACTCATCGAGACATCGTGAGGGCCCTCTTGCAGCGATTCCAACCGCTGGTTCTGCTCCTCCATTTCCCCATACATCCCCACCAATCCTCCCTCCGTCGTCCCCATCCCGAAAATACCGCTGTAGGTCTCTCACTCGTGCCACTCAGAATGCGTTTCAACTAGCGAAAGCCACAAGGCTGCAGCGAAGCTGTCCACTGCAATCCGCTGCTCTAACAACACAGGAAAACTCTCGTTTACTGCCAATCAGATTGGCGCTACGCACTTGAAAACAAGACCATGTCTAAAGCACGATTCCCTGGTCACTAGAGCCACAACATGCTTGTTGCAATTCCGATTTCGCGACTCAGTTACGCTAGCAGCAAAAGCAGGACTTCGACCCAACTCACGTTTTAAAGGTTAGAGTCTAGAGTACTGTTCCACTCTCAATGTGACGATCAGCAATACGAACCTCACAGGCCAGTCTCAAAACATCGGGAACCGATTCCGAGCTGTGTGAAGAAACCACCAAGTCCCTCCACCTTCAGTCTTGTCAACCTCTACAGACCGAGAGCCTGTGCCTGTGCCTCTCCCACTACACTCCACAGCCGAGTCGCGGCTCCCAATGATGCGCATGAGTGGCACATTAAGGGTCTGCAGGCTGATACAAATCCCTTCCCGGCTGCCCAACTCTAGCTGTCATTGTCACCAAGTTAGACACTCTCCAGGGCCACCACGGAGTCCAGCCTCTAGCGCATTGGCCCACAAATGCTGCTCACGCGGCGCTTTGCTTCAACCATCACTGACATGATGATGAGGATGATCATCATGATAGTCCGGCTCGATTATGCCCGTCACATAACTCTTGGCTTGCTCGATGATGAGCATTGCTGCTGCTCATATACGATATGAGCTCAAGCGGCTGTTGTCCTTGCCACCTATTGCCAGAATCTAACTTCATATACTCCACCCTCCTTTCGTTCTCTCGTTTACAAAGCGCGCCTAGAAGCGACCCACCCACATCCAGGCGTAGACTATACACAATCTGCGGTAACCATACTCCTCCAGCAACCTCGACCTATACACGAAAACCCAGGCAGCAGTAGCTACACGAATTCCTGTACAGTACCAATATCGATCACGGATCCAGCTGCTCTGACATGAACAGTGAGCCATCCGTAGGACGGGTTGAGCGATCCACTTCGTCACGTCGTCGATGGCCTGCAGTATCTGCAGCATGAGCTTATAGGTGGTACCAGCAGCTACGGATGGAGGGGAGCTTACTCTCTTTTAGTGCTTTAGTTAATATGGCTTTGATTTATGATGCGACAGGGCGGTGGTACCTGAGGGATTGGCATCGTTAAGAGTACCCCATTTATGATTCAGCTGTGAGTATAATTGGTTTCATAATACTGTTCGTGAATGGTAGTTGTAATTGTTGTCGTGGTGGTGCAGCTCCAGCTCCAGCTCCTCTTTCTCCAGTGCACTTACTCTCACTCACTCACTGCCTTCCCTTCTCTCTGGCGGCGGCGGCCTCGTGCTTCACTACAGTTGTGAAGCCGGGGTGGCCCCCTTTCCCGACGGGTGTTTACCGTCCGCCCGTCATTCCCCTCCCCCGTAACTTTTCTCGTTCTTCCTTTACGTTTTGCCTAACAACAACCTTTTCCCCACTCGTGGGATTTACATTGGCGGGAAACGGTTTTCCTCTTCGGTCCGGTAAATTCTTGCCTGTCCACCTCGGATCTTCTACGTCCACCTGGCACCCTGCAGCACCTATTGGAAAAATGATTAGGTGGACCTGGTTTTATCTGAGGTGGCACTCGCTGCAATATTGTGGAGCTTTCCGGACACTATTCCCAACATGAAGGATCTACTACTACTACTACATTCTCTCCTTTTTTGTGTGCTTTCAAACAATTGCACATTGTAAATTTGGTAGTTTAGGGTGAATCTAATGCCAAAAGAAGTATCTCTTCCCATTCTAGATGGAATAGAAAAAAAAAAAAAAAAAAAAAAAAAAAAAACACTTTGGAACAAAATGTGAGAGTCAAAATTGAGTTTGCTCTAATTTGGCTCAATTTGGACTTGGAGGATAATTGTTCATGTTGTATAGGGACATGAAATGGGGAAATGGGTCCATAATAAGTATGCTTCGTATAAATAGTTATTCACTACTTTTGGAAATACTGAAGGTCTTTATACATATGAGCCCAATTTGAAAAGACAAGTGTCCAAAATTCTTACGAATGTCCTTTGCTTAGTGAAGAAATTTGTCCTTTGGAAGCTTTGACCTTTGGGATATTACAAAGGAAAAAGAGGGTATGAAATAGACCAACTATCTTTATTTTTATTTACTCTAAATTTGTAAAGAAACGTTCATTTTTTTTCTTTTAGTTTTTTAATTCAAAAACTTATGTATAAATAATTAATGTGGAAACTTCTAACAATTTCCCACACGACTTTTTGGATTTTTGTAAAAAACCAATTTTTGATGTAGACTTGAGAAAAAAAATTGGGAGACAACACTATTGTACCTAGTTGGGAAAAAATGCATTCTTCCTCATTCTTTTTCTCTCTTAGCCTTTTGGTCGATTTTTCTAAGTGTAAAGCTATAAAGCTAACAAACAAATGCTTCTTGATTTTAACCAATCACAAACTTTAAAAATGGTGTCCTCTTGTCGTCTTCCTTGTTAAGCTTAAAGACCCCTTCAGAAAGCATGGGAATAGGATACTAGTCTATAATACTAATCAAATAATGACTGGCCATATCTTAAAGCCTTAGCTTGCTCTACAACTATACCAAGTTATATCTAAAGGAAATAACTCATGTGTAAACGATAAATCAAAATTTAGAATATTTAGAATAAAAAGTTAAAAATCAACTATATATTTATATACACATATATTCATACATACATACATACATACATACATACATACCTGAAATAAATCCCCACCAACTATGGTCTCTAAATCTATCTCAAAACTTTGAAATAGGCTCTGGATATAATCTATTTATTCTGAAAACCAATAAAATATCTAACCCTTCTTAACTCATATTTGATTGATTGGATTTTTCAAAATATTTTTAATCCTGATTATTTGAAAGGTTTGCCAACTCATTTCTAGAATCTTTTCAGATATTTGGCAAAAATCGTATATATATATATATATATATATATATTGAATTAACCAATCAAATATCAAATTTTCACAATATATACAACAATAGTGTGATATTATAGTGTATTTAAATTAAGATTTTCAATGAATATTATTCAATAATTAATTTGCTGGCAAAATCAGTCTCCACTATAGTAAGTATGTGTGTATATTTATATACATATATCCAAGTGCAACAAATATCTACATGAGTTACTATATTGAATTTTCAGATCATGTCTTTGAGTCTTTAGTATGTGAATGTTTCCTTGAAATAATTCCCGTCCCTCTTTATTTATTGTGTCTCTTTATTTCTGTCTACCTTTTTGTCTTTGATTTTCCATGTTTTTTTTCTTCTTGTGCTTCCATTTGTTAAGAGGAGGGGGAATATTGGAATAAAGCTTGAAAATAAGAATATAATTTATAAATACAAAACACTTCCTCAAGCTACCGATCAAATTTACTTAATTTATGAAGCATGTGTTATTCTCAATGCATGCAAGAATGTCAATTGTGAACCAAAAAGGCAAAAAAGCATCCAATAGAGTCATGTAGTTGAATATAGCTTTGGTCCTTGGTGAGTAACTACCTTAAGATGCATGTTGGATTTTTGTTTTAGTTAATCATCAGAAAATTAGTTTTATTTTTTCTTTCTTCACACACATTGTGAAAGAGCTATATATTCCCTACAATTTTGTATGTCCTTGAAATCCATAGAGTCTTTTCAATTTTAAATTATGTAAAACTGCAAGAATATGTACATATAATTTGTACTCACATGGGTCTAAAGTTAATGAAACAAGGTATATACATTCATGAAACTCTTGTAATAATGTACTCAAGAATTTTAAGTTTATTTTTTATATGATGTAGTATGTTTCTAACTTGAAGGAATTGAATTATGACCATTTTGTTAATGAACAATAGGTGCACATGGGGAAAAGAAAAGAAAAGAAAAGAAAAAGTCTCCTTGTGAGATTTAAATTAAGACAGTTACCTGGATGTTTAGGATTCATGTGTGAGAGCATTGATCATGCAAACCAAGTTGATTCCACCCTACTTCTCACGCCACACTGAGAGTTTTGTTAACTGCAAGTTAATCAGACATTTGTTTCACACGTACAGTTCGCAGTTTCTGATTTAGAATCCAAAGATACGTTATTAGAAACCAGCACTTGGAACGAAAATTCTCCGTTTCACACTGGGGCCGACTACGACAGCGCGGGGGGTCCCCCTTTCGCAGCCGGACTGTCCAGGTTGCCATTGAAACAATAGATGAACAGGGATGTATCGTCCTGGATGAACCAATTGGCTCGAGAAGGCGGGGCCACAGCATAGGGCCGCCGAGCCTAGCCAAGCCGAGCCTAGAAGGGCCGAATCCGGGCTGGCCCGGCAAGGCTGAGGAGGTAATGATGGGCTTCTCCCACACTTGAGGCAAGTGCCAGCCTGCCATCCAGCCAACACTGGTTCCCCGTTCCCTGCTCCATATATCCTATTAATTGATATATATATATCCCACCCGAAGGAGCAGTGTTTGGAAAGTTTTATGGATGGATGAAAGAGTGATGAATAGGTGACCGTGACGTGGACCCACGAATGCCTTGCTTCTCCCTCTCTCTACCCTCACCACTCATTATGGGAGTGCACCAGCCTATCGTCCACCGCACGTGAGAGCCTTCGAGACGGATGATTTCCATCCCATTAAGCAAGTCGGATGAATAATCCTGCTGCTGGAGAGCACGTACGAACGAATGTCCCGGTGGGCCAAGATAGAGAGAGAGAAGAGACCAGGTCAAGATGGAACCCCTCTCCTCGCATCCATCCAGGACGACGCCCATCCATGTGCCTGCGTGGCCCAAGGTCGAACTAAGGTATATTTATTTTCACACGCTATATTTGCAAGGTTAGGATTTTTTAAGTTGGGGATTTTAGGTTTAGGAATATAAATTGGAAATGGGAGCAAAAAAGTTTGACTTTAAAGCTACAGTAGGTGTTTTTAAATATAAAAGTAAAAGAAGATGGATTTATAAACACTAGACATGTCCTTCATTAACATTTTGTCATTTCATTGTTTCTTTATTCTTAAGAAAAGTCCACTATTCAGATCTAAGTGGTCCAAATTGCAGCAGTTGCACTAAACATTTGTTCTACTTAGTTATTCTGAAACATATTGAGCATATTAAATATTTTAAAATATAACTCCACCTAATGCTTGGTGTTTGAGGTAAAATTAACATCTCTTCAAAACCATCTTCTTTAGAGATTTCTACATCCCCTCTATATACACACACACACACCTTTCTCATGCCCTCACCATCATACTCTCCTCATCCTCCATCTTTTTGTAATATTTAATTCATCCTCACAGACAGTAAAATATCTCTATATTTGACACAAAATTCAACTCTTATATATATATATATAGATAATGTGAATGAGCCTGCATTTTGGATTGTGCATCCACATAGAAGCAGGTTCACTTCACTTCACTCTGGGTTCAGAGAATGGATGGCTGGATGCATGTTATTTTCTGTGACTTTGTCATCCATACAATCATTTATATACTTTCATCCGTGTCACTGAGTGATGGTGGCAGCAGACAGACAGGCAGACAGGCAGGCAGGCAAGGCAGGGCAGAAAGGAGGCACAACCAGCACATACAATTTAGAAGTGGGCTGGGCTTTCCTTGCAAGGACACACACACAGAGAGAGAGAGAGAGAGAGAGAGAGAATCCATGGTGTGGTGGGAGAAGACACTCTCACTTCCAAGCAGAAGAGAAGGAATGGGGTCCCTCCCTCATTGCTTTCTGTTCAAGCCACATCCCAACAACTAACTGATGCCCTGAGCATTCCCACCACCACCAGCACACCCCATCCCTTCCATTCCTTGAGGAGGAGGAGGAGGAGGAAGGTGGGGACCTCCTCTTGAAACTGAAAGATATGCTGGACTGGCTGGCTGAAGGGAATGAATAATTGATTGCTGCCAAAGATGTTTAGCCATGGGAGGAGTGAGACTCCAACAAACCAACAACAATGTCACCAACCGCCTCATCCTCCCTCCTGCATTTGCCCACCACCTCCTTCCCCCCCCCTGCCAGCCTGTGAGAGATATGGAATTGGAAGAAAGTTGGCTTGGATCTGAGTTCCCCCCCATTCTTTCTTTCTTTTTTTTCATCAACTTTGAGGGGGTTAATCAATGTGACACATGGGATGGACTCCACCCAGGAGGAGTGAGAGTGAGAGAGAGAGAGAGAGAGTTCCAGTACCCACACACATGCAGCAGAATTTGACTATGGGCTGCACCCCTGATTGTGGGATTAGGGCTTGAGGATGATCCATCCATCCATGCATCTTGAGGGTTCAATTCCATTCATTCACTGTAGGAGTCCCAGTAAAGCAAAGGAAGAGAAGAGGAACCATATCTCACCCAACATCAATGTGTTGCACTGGTAGCAGCTTCTTTTTCTTCTTCTTCCTCTGAGACCAGCTTTGTTGTTGTGGTAGCAGAGGAGTACCAGAGTGAAGGATTGAGGAATAGACCACACGATATGCGTGTTGTCTTTGATTTGATAAGTGGAGAGATACCTCACTTATAGAACTTGTATGAAACTTATCATTCAGCAAGATGTTGCACCAATCATTTGATTCCATAATATGCAAATGAATATCCAAGCACATGATTAAATGAATTGCTTCTGTTAAAAATAAAATAAAAAACCAACAGAATAAAAAAATGAATGTCAATTTTGGGCTACTTTGCAAGTTTGAAAATTATTCAATGCCCACTTGGAAGTAGTAGTTTAGATAATCTCATACCCACACTTCTTCTTCAACCCAAAAGGTGATGAGGATAAAAGGACCTAACAGTGCTCTTCATCAGTCTAAAGAATTATTATTATCATCAATTTGTAGCGTATCTGCAAAGTAACTTAATGTGTGGAGTTGAGCACAGCCATTGAATAGGAGATCCAAAACACAAGCTCCATAAATATATATATATATATATATATTATAAAAGTTGTGCATATCTACAACCATGGTAGTACTAAACCCTAAACAAACTCTCTATCAAAGAGCTTTGGTCCCACATTAAAGTCATGTATGTGTGGGAAAGTCCATTAGGGCTTGCCATGAAAAATTGCCATCCCTATCACATGAAGTGAAATCATGCTTTTTTGTGTGCAAGCACACCCCTTCGAAAAAAGATGCCCTCCAGGAAGCAAACAATGCAAAAAATAAATAAATAAAAAAACAAAAAAAGAGGTGTGTGTTTGCAGGCCGGGGTGGGCTATGGAGGGGCTCTTTTGGAGGCACCGAAAAAATCAATTCCTCACAAGACAAATGACAGGTTCAAAGTTAGGTGGGGACAAGGGAGAAGGCAAAGGTGGGGGGTGATGAGGATGAATGTGGATGATGAATAATTATATGGAGGGAACTGTTTGGACTCATGTGGATCCTCTTACTTTCCGTTTAAGGAGCGTCGTCTCATTCCCCATTTGCCTCGAGAATAGGAACAGAGGAATGAGAATGGCAAGGGCGGGATAGAGAGATATTGCAAAGGGGTGTTATTGGTGGGACTTCCAAAAGGGGGTCTTCCGGCCCCACCAAGTCCACCCTTTGGTAGTTCCTCCCTCTTGTCTGGGGTTTGCCAAGTCAGCGCTGTGGACGTAGGCTGGAAACTGACTGAGGTGGACAGTACGGGGCGGGGTTGGCAGAGCTACTGCCTACCTGGCAAGGACGGGAAAGGATGAATGAATGTGGAGGGGAAGAGCCCTCGTCCTTGCTGATTGCTTGGATCCATCTCTTTCAGTGTTCTGTTCACCAGCATTCCCCATTCCCATTAATATTTTCCTTTCCCTACCCCTTCCTCTGCTTGTGGAATGGTCAAAGCGTGGGTGATGAGATGGTTTCATGGTGTCAGTCACCAATATGCTGGACAGATTTCAAGCCTTGGATAAAATAAATAAACGAAGAAGAGGAAGTAGAAGCATACATACTCTAGTCATGTTTGTCAGCAACAAACTGAAAAAAACAAAGTTGACCTTGAAGAAACAATTAGGTTAATAGAGATCATCACCCACCCTCATTCTCCCCCCCCCTCCCCTTCATACTATATCAACATTAAATTGTTCATTTTTTTTTTTCTTTGGGGAAATGATCATTATGAATCACCAGAAAAATATTTCCGTTATTCTTAATAATAAATAAATGGGTGAATGAATGCTCTAAAATGGACGATGAATGCGGAGGATGAATACATGGATGAGCTCCCCTTGTGTGGGCAATACTTTCCTCACCTACACCTACAATTAGGGTTGGTAGTGGCGGAGGTGGGCCTTCGCTCTGTGCAATCTCCAGCTCATGCACAGCTTGGACGTCATTCATTGGCACAAACTTCGATGGATGGATGCATAAATGAACAGATGGATGGATGTGTGGATGGAGGGTGTGCCGCCCACCTCGCACAATTTTCTCTGATGAAGGGCACTGAAAAGGGTCATGAAATCAGAATGTTGCCAATGTTCATATTCTCTGTTCCAAGATTTGGGTGTGATTTTGAACAAGATGATTACAAAATGCTTTCTTACATCAGACAGCAATGGGAGGAAAAAAGATGCAGAAAAAGCATTACAAGATAAAACAGTATTGAATGAATGAATAATGGCATATAAGATCATAAACATATATATATATATAACTCAAAAGTCAACAATATTTAATGCCCGACATTCAGCATTGCATTAAATATTCGGAAATTTACTTTCTTCATGTGAGAAGTAAGCATACACTTATTTTGGACATTTGTTCCATACAATATAGATATATATATATATATATATATATATAGATATATATATATATAGATATAAATAAATAAATATATATAGATATAAATAAATAAATAAATATATATATATGTATATGTTGTGACTCATTTTTTGTAAAATACTGAACCAATATTAATGTATTTATTGATTTTTGAACGGGTGGAGTAGTACTCATAACTTCATATTTGATGCAATATATTTTGTTGATATATATATATATATATATATATATGTATAGACTGTTCTATAAATATCATTTGAAGCATTGAGACAAAAAGATGAGATTGTAGAGGATGCAAGAGGATCCACACACCATTGGAGCTGAATGGTGTATGTTTTGTCTCCATGTCCAGCACCATCATCGAGTCTCTCTTGTGCATTATGCCTGGAGTAGTATGATGACCATGGTTGCTTGCACTTGGCTTGGCCTTCCAAGGAGATTCAAAGCAAGCAAAACAGGAGTTGGGTACCTAGATGCTCCGTGAAGATGAGCCTCGAGAACCAGGGGTGGCTGTCCTTATCCTCTTGGAAGCCACTGTAACTCACGGCACTTGAAGGTCAACTGGTGCAGCTACGACTCCACCTCGTCTGGAAACTGGAGAGCTTGAGCCATGTAAAGTAGCAACAACCTGACAAAGGATCGAAGGGATTTCCACAGCACGTCGAAGGTAACGCTTCGTACAATTCCTCGCAGCGTCAACTTTCGAGAATGCTGGATCATCTGTGAGGTCCCTAAAGAGGAGCCAAAGGAAAGAAATGTTCTCAAAAAGGAAGTGCCAAAGACTCGAAAGACTCGAAAGAACTCTGACAATGCTTGCAGACCATCGCGCCAAAGAATTTACAAGAGAGTTTGAAGCTTATAATTGCAATTAAATCTTGTCTAGTGAAGAAATTGGGCACCTCATCTGAAGTGAGTGGACACATCTGTGCCCTACAAAGTATAAGCTTCGCAACAGTAATGTGTCCAAAACAATCCACACTCAAATGACGCTACATGAACATTTGCTGTAGCGGAAACTGTTGCTGTATTCTTTTATCAGCTCAATGTTGTTCTCAAATTTTACTTCAATGAGTATCGAAGGATACCTTGAAATTAGACGCATTGTATAAGGCCATTGCAAATAACCAGTCGGCAGCCCTTTCAAATGGCGTGAGCGTAAGAATCAATGAATACATCTGTCTAGGATCGGAGAAGCACATATATTACTCCCTTTAAAAAACTCCCCTACTATGCTGTACACAGGTTTAGACACCTTCAATAACTTGCTAATCTTACCGAACTGTAGCTCCATAAGAAGCACTGCTGCTACATCCTAAGCTGCATTGTAACATGAGCCTTCCAACGTTGAATATCGCCCAGGAAAGTGACACGTCAGCAAAGATGCAATGGCTCACCACCTTCGAGTTCGTCTCCTTGGAGATGCTTCCAGCAGCGTCGCAAGCTCCTGGTTTGACTTCAGAAAGAAAGATCTGTAACCCAAAGCTAGACCTAAGACTATCTGAAGTTGAGGTTCCTTTCAACTATTTCGTAGTTGGATCATGCAAAACCAGACTAATTTCAGTCCGTAAAGCCGAATCCTGACCACGACATGAACCTAACAAAGACCAATACTGGATGAAATACCCAGTGGTACATTCAACCTGTTGGATCGTAAACATGCTGGTTCACGAGCAAGAAGTTGACAGGGGAGGTAGTCGTCCATGCAGAAGCTTGCGGCGAATAAGTTGCTTGAAAGCAGCAATTGCTGATGCTTGAAGATCGGGGTCCCTAGCTGGTCCTGATTTGATTAAAGGACCTCCAGCCTGGGCACAGTTTTGGAGAATAGTCACAACTTGAGGGATCAGTTGTGGAAAAGCTACCGCACAGAGAGCCAATGGAGTCAAAACCTCTTGCAAATACCTGGCGCACCCTGCTACTTTGTTAAGTACATGAGATACATGCGCCACAGCCTGCACGGGAGACATTGAAAACAAAAACAATGAACAACTCGTAATTATCGTCACTGGAATAATAAATAAGCAAGGAATGTGGGTTGTAGCGGGATAAATGACCATAATAACTTTGACCACAAATTAGGTACGTTGCTTACCTGCTGGGCTGCGCTAAGACTCTGAGGAAGTGAAGAGTGCAAACAGACAATGTGTGCAGTCAGAATTACTGCAAACACCTGGCACTGCTGTGATGACTGCTGCATAAGCTCTCCCACGAATTCTAGACACTGAACCATACTGGGCAATCCTTCCACCATCATTGGGACTAAAGAGGGGTCATAACCCTGTCAGTTCATTCCAACAGATGCCCCTAGAATTTTAGAAACGGAATTCAGCAGCGCCGTCTCAATTCAAAAGAGGCAATTCATTTTGCCAATTAAGGACACGAATGAGATCCGCGTCCAGGCTCATGTAACACCCATCAACATCCAGTAGGATTCAGTGGACTGCAAAAGGACACATACCTGGAAGTGTAAGAGCTTCAGAAGCAAAGGGGTGGTGTGTATAAGAGAGGAAATTGTTGCACATATTAGGCTTCGTGCTTCGGCAAGAGGCCTTGGTTCAATATCATCCTCCAATTCGGTAACTGGTAGACAAGCCTCCAATAAGATCTGGCATGCAGCACTGCAAAGATGGCGTGCGCACCAGTGTCAGAACAATAGTAGAGGACAATCAACCTAGGAAATCAAGATAACATAAATGCTTTCAATACAAAACAGGTGTACGGATGATCGAAATATGACAACAATTACAATTTCTGGTTTCTACGCCAAAGCCGTAGAGCTACATTACCTGTCCTGTGCTGCGAGTGCTAAAGCAACTTCCTCTTTTTTGGTTCCGCCATCCCTTCCTCCCTCGATAGCTGCCCAACAAATCCTTCTGCTTGTTGTCAGGAGCTCCATCAACAAGTCCAACACAACTCCAAGCAAAGGTGGAGTTCGGAAGACCTTAGGACTACAAGCCAATAGGCTTAGAGGCTCTAGTTGCAGGCCACTAGAAGAGAGAGACACAAGTTGAGGATCTTTGGCTTTCTGTGATACACTCTTTTTACTTCCATGGTTAGACATGTCCGCAGGTTCCCGAAGACTAATTACAAACAGCGGTGTGAGGTACTCCTTAGCTGCTGATGGTAGCAATCGCCACCATGAACAGAAAGTCTCTTGTAAGAGGCGCCAACAGTTAGCATCCATAAGTTGGGGAACAAGCTCTTTGACCACAGCTGCTTCTTTGTCCCACACTTTTGACCCTAGTTCCAGTTGTATTACACCATTCTCGCTAGAGCTGATTCCTCCCCATCTCATTAAGGTTCTCCTCAGAGCGTGTAACACTCCAAGGGCAGGCAATGGCGCGCTCAAAGCATTTTTCATGGCTTTGACAACAACATCGACCGACTCAATACTCATGCTGCTCTCTTCTTTCACGCTGTCCATTGTATCCGCAAGTGGCACCCGTTGGTCTTCCAAGTTGATATCTCCAGATAACAGTTCATCTACAGAAGTTTTCAAGAGATTTATGCTAGCAGTTGAAGGTCCAACCCATGTCAGATCAGAAGTAGGTGCTGCGCCCTCAACAATTGGAGTCAAGGCAGCTCCTGGAGCCTCATCATCTTCAAGAAGCGCCGGTATCAAAAACCTCTCAGGGAGAATAACAGAGACAAGAGCAAGCATCTGCAAAGTCAATGCTCATCAAAGTTAATTGAAATCTGCACGAGGATCCTAGAAAAGCAAAGCTGGAACTGTCACAAATCGCTGAAATTGGAATTATCAGTCATACAGCAGCATATTCTCTCACGTCCATGTCAGGAAAGAGAGAAGTCATATCAGCTGTGCTTTAAAATATGCACGAGAGTTTTAATTAGACATCAACTGGTAAAACATTTGATATTAAGGCATGCTAGCTTGCAGAGTTCCAACACAGCTGTTATACCTGAGGTAGAAGGTTCTCAAAGGATAGCCATTGCTCTTCCATATGCCTTATGAGAGGCCTCAACGGCAGGCAAGCAAGTAATTCTGTCCAATTGCCTTCCTCTCCAGTATCGCCTTGTGCGGCATCCCAACCATGCACACTACCATCGATCCCTGCATTTCTAAACATCTGCTCCCGACAAAGTATGTAGTACACTGCCAATGCTGCGGTAGCTAATGGGCCTCCATCTGCTTCCACAGTCACCCCATCCCTGGAAGAAATATCTGATTCTTCTGATGACCGATTTCCAAGAATTCTGGCCACCTTTGCTGAGTGTCTGGAGAGACGACCTCGAGGTGATTTAACCTTGGCTGACTTATTCATGCCACTCAACAGAAGGCCAGTAGGAGCAATGGCTGCAACCAACCAATCTCTTGGAAAAGGTCGCATTTTGAACGCTTGTACTACTCCTCTTGTTCGGGGAGCTGTTGCAGATATATCTGCAAAAGATTGGACCAGCTGAGGTAGCACCTGCATGAAATCGAATTGGAAAAGCACGACATCAATATGAGAGTAGGTAGTATGATTTATAGAGGCCCGGGTGATAAGTAACATAGAAAATTGCGTAATCTTCTAGCACCGAAACGGAAGCCAGCGGGCAATGTCAACCCCTAAATCTCCTAAATGAAATCTATCAAACAACTCATTGTGTAAGGGACAATAAGTTGGCGAAATTCCTGCTAAGCATGTTGATGAAGGAGGCAATCACAAGAGAGACAATAAGGGAAAAAAGAAAGCATGGGCGGGGCTACTAGACAAGATCACCAGATTTTCGGATCTGATTGCCATCATAGTACCCTCAAGTTCTTCAAGTACACTCAAAGGGAGGTTGCGAAGAGGCGAAGAAGGGACGCTAGAATATTAATACAACTAAAGAGCAAAACGAGGTCAATGCAAGGAACATGTCCACACAATGTGCTCCTAACTTCGTCCCAAACTGATCGTAAGTGGTCACAAAACGAACATCAGACAGGAAACACAGAATGAGCAGTCAACACATAGGCCATAGAGCGTACAGGATGAATGGGTGTCTGTGCCAAGCTAAGGCAGTGCATAAGAGCATTTGAAACGTCCACACCATAACGTGAGAAGTTGAAGGTATTTGTATTCATAAGCTGGTCAATGCATTTCAGAGCCAAGTCTGGTTGCTTCCTGTTCCAATCATCCCTTACAAGTAAGAAAATGGAAGATGAACTCAACACTAGTATCATAATGAAAATTTGTCATCGTGAACAGTATACTCGGATATCGTTTACTATTTTCAGGAAAACATTATGCCTACTTGCTTACCATTGACCATGGTTAAAAAGTGGAAAAACATGCTGACGGTAGGAGAATATGACCACTTACTTGTTGGCTGCTATTGGTGAGCATGGCCGGAGACTAGCAACAACAGTTGCAACGAGAGAGGCATCAGTAATGATTCCAGCACCTGAGGCTGCCTCAGCTACATCACGCATAAGAGAATATTGGACGGTTACATGCATTCCCACTGCTTCTCGGACAAGCTGCAGGTGAGATTACAATCAGTAGCTGTACAGAACTGTATTTACGATTATTCCAATATCGCAACTAGGCAAAAGCCGAAATTGAGATCAATTTTTGCAGAAATTTATTTAGAGATTTTCTAAGAGTAGGAAGTTACAAGAGGCGGCTTGTAGTACCGTTGCAATATCTACAAATCTTCGGAGCAGAAGTTGGACAGCCAGCCAAGCAGCGAGCTCAACATTGGCAGGAGTGCAGGCAGATGTACTTGGAACAGTAGCCGCTTTCAACAAGCAACCCATCGCTAAATGAAAGAGATTTTTGGTTGATGGTCCTGCCAATCCAGATACTAAGCAAACAAAAGCCATTCCAAGTTGAAGCGTACGAATACTTACGAATCCCGTGTCTTTAGAGCTATTTCCCAAGGCCTTGAGCCAAAAGTCAACCTGCATTGGGCAAGCGAAACAATCAATACAAAGACCAAGACATGACATTCCACCCCAAATCTTAAGAAATCGAACTTGAACTGCTAGATGATGATTGTGAGATTAAGCTTTTAGAGCTTGCACTAGAACGTATCAGACCTTCTACAGTTCCACAAATATTCAAACTAATCAACAAGCTTGTACCTAGTCTTGATCTTCGAAGCTACAAGTTCCCAAAGCCTGTTGATATAACAGTAAAAGAGCTTACAAGGAACTACTCCTCAGGAGGATCTGTATCTCTAAAGCTCGATGGTACAAGATCATTCCTTGCATGCTGTGAAGCAACTGTGTATGCTATATCAACTAAAGGAGAAGAAACTTTTATAAACTCCCATATCTATAAAGTCACCAAAGTGTGTAGCACTACGTACAGCGCAAGCAACTGCTAAGCATTGTTGCGATGAGACAAAGTACAAGTTCGAAACAACAACATGAAAAGATACTTTCGTATTACTATTATCAACACTTTGATACACACATGTTGCAGAGGATTGCCAAGTGCATTACTTACTCGATACAAAAATGCTGCAGGTGAAAGCTTAACTGTCTACCTCAGTATTTAATATTGCACGCGAACAGACGATAGCCAGTATAAACTCACCTCTTCGTGTGTAGGCGATAATTCCCCTGCACGAACAAGGACACAATATAGCCTTATATGGGAGTGGAGACGACCTCCCCATCCATCTTCTTGCCAAACGCGTCGCGCATCAGCAAGCAAAGCATCCCGAACTCGAGCTATAGATCCTTCCTTCTCTTTATGCCGACTAGAATCACTGACACCCCAGCGAGCTGTCTTGGGCTCACTGGTCTGGGGCTCCCCAAATTTCTGTTTGGCTCCAATGTGATGCAAGATCCATTGGGAAATTGTCTCTCTAGAAAATATTAACCTAGAAAAAAATTCTAATTCGTCGTGAAGGATCTCTACTGTAATCTGTACAGCCAATTCAACCAGAGATCTAGTGTCAACTAATGCCTCACGACAAACTGATGCTAGAGATGGTGCGATTTGACACAACTTAATAAGAATGAAAGCTGCTGCATCAGCATCAGCATGCTGAGTGTGTGGAAGTGCTGTCTGAAAAGGTATCGATCCACTATGTTGCCGGGGAAGACCTGTAAGCATCAACATAAGAGAGCTCAATTAAGTGCTTGACGGAACACGGTGGAACAGAACCCTGAAGTCAAGTGACAACCCTCCAACAATACACAACCGTGAAATCAAATAATCATAACTCGGACAGGCTAGTAACTGTCATAAACAAATAACTAATAAAGAAATTGTCAGTTCACTATTGGCACTATACTTGACATCCAAAGCGTGTAATTCGATCTACCTCTTCAACTGGCAAAGCTTACAAGGTGAAACATCAGCAGTTTTGAACATTTGAGCCAGCCATTTTTTTCTCACCACAAACCTGATATACTTTTGACGGTACTATCTTGGTGTTGAGGACTATTAGGTTGAGTTTCAGAAAGATCTGCATGCATTTTGAAAATGTGGCAAAGAAAGTGGGCGCCACGGTCTACGAGACTAGGATTGTTTGCCAACGTCGTGACAAGCAAAAGGCAACCATTTCGGGCTGTCACCAGACCCTTGACCAGAAGCTCTGCATCGAAAAGATCATTTAAAAAAATAAATTACAAGTCTTTTCACATGAACCACGCAAGTGTGCATCTTGTATTCATCCGACTGTATAAAGGGACAATTTAGAGAGAACGCTCAATCAGAAACTCGAGAATCTTCACTCTGCTGTTGCGTAGTCTAATCGTACAAATGTCATCAGGGTATTATCATGCAAATAGGATTCTCAGCAGTTCAAAAAGTAATCTAGAGTCAAATACAATGAATGGAGTAAAAATTGTAGTGACAGGTTCTGATACCTGGAGTCAAAAGAGTGGGGCATCGAGATACCACGATGGGTAAGAGATACAACAACTCCAACAAACAAGCCTCATTGCTCCACATGCTGCCTTCTGTGTCCTCTTCTTGGTGTGCGAGTCTTTTCTCCTGCACTGATCCTTCATGTGCCCATCTGGCATCGAACAAACCAGCACGCCGATGTAAAGAAGCCACCGCCACAATGACGCGCTCCATCTGTACATGGACCACAAGCAAACTCTTTCAGAACAGCGTCTCCGTTGGAGAAAAAACATCTTCCACTTAGTCTTTCAGTCTTGATATCCATTAACTCTTACAATACTTCGCCCTTACGAACTACTTGACATATGTGCCTTGACTCCACAACATGCTCAAATGCATCAAGAAAGGGATAAGCAAAGATCAACCCAAGGGAAGAACAGCTAGCAGCTGAGATTGGAGTGTTAATTAACGTGGCCACTTTTTTGCAGTCCCTACTCCTCCGGCGTATGCTTAAACCCTCAACCCTAAAATGAAATGCTCACTGGTTGACGTCCAATTAACAACTATACAAGGACCGGTTAAATCATCCAGTCCATGAGAGTTATTACCCGTACTTTCCTGCTTAACGTACTTCTCGAAAGAAATTTGTTTCTAACCACTAACACATCAAGATTCCTTGGCTCCGCAGGTCGCCATGCTCCTACTACGTCAGAATTAATTATTGGCAAATAGCAAAGATAAGTAGTATAATTATGCAGCGAACTTCACAACACTGTTATGATCGCAAAAGATATCCATTCACAAAAGTCCCCAGCGTTCAAATTTTGCTGCTGTTACCCTAGAACCGAAACTCTCCAGCTTCGTAACATGTTTGGAGGAGAACATTGTACATTGCGCACTCCATGAGCGAATTTGAATCTGCTGGTTACTACTAAATAACCGTAACTAGCAAAATTGAACTCCAACTTTCAAGGTTATTTCGATATTAATTCCTGGCGATCTGCGCAATACAACATTTCCTCGTAAATCTTTCCGACTTCATGCACATTACCTCATCCCCCTGTTGGAACACATCGCACTCGTCCATAGCAGCGTCATCGCCGTCGACATACCACAGCCACGCATCGTCCTCTTCCCTACCGCCCGCGCGGCTCCCGGAGGCCCCTTCAACAGGAACTAGGGTTTCCCTAATGCGCGAGAGAAAAGGCTCGTCATAATCGAGTCCCGCATAGGCAAAGGCGAGCTGCGTGTCGGGGTGGCAGGCGAGTGCGGACAGCAAGCGAGGGTCGACCGCAGCGGAGTCATGCGCGGCCAGCGACAGCGATGGCAGGAAAGGCGCAATTACCGTAGCCGTTGTGGCAGCGTCTTCTCCAAAACACTTCGGCAGCGGAGCTCCGTAACGCAGAAAATTGAGGACGTCTTCCGCCCCACAATCACCCATGGCTAGAAAAACAAAAAATTATATGCAAAGCTGCGATCGAAAAATCTCCACATGGTTCCAACGCCGCAAGGACCTATGCTTGCTCACATGCGGATCAATTCATGAGCGAGCATCACACGATCAAACGAGCCAACTAAAAAAAGATCAAGCTGTAGGGAACCATTGTTCCTTTTGCATATGAAGACGATGAAGTGGCAACTAGAGCTGACAGCAATTAGTACATCGCCGAAATCAATGTACACTTCCCTAAGATTCCAGAAATCTACACAAGTCACCTCCGAGCCCCTCGTATTGTGTTCGGCGAGAATTTCAAGAATTTCCTAGTAGTGTACACCGAGACAATGAAGTCATCACAGATGCATTGCTAAGTAATCCAGCTCTTTTAACCAGACATCGAGATGCTAATCTGTGGAACATCAAATTAGGGCTGCCATAGGTGTTATGACTGGATTCAAGCTTGCTCCACTGTACTCTGTCGGCGCTTGAAATGGTGTGTATATTCTAGGACACTGGCAGGAGAAGATGGGTGATCGTATGGAGGTATGTTGGCCGTTACTTGTTGAAGTTCGAAAACCTCACTATTTGCATGTTCTCGAGGCTCGATTGCTTTGCATCATCTCGGTTGTCAGTGGTTTAAGGTTTATGTAATCACTTCGTCGGCAGCATCATAGTCGAGACTCCCGCTTCTAATGATGTTCTCTATTGCCATCACTTGGAAACCTCAACCTCGATGTATGTTTGCGGAGGTGCAGAAAGTGAGGAATGACAAAGTAACCAGGATCCCTGAGCTTGACCTAAATGACATGCAGGAAAATATAGGTTTAACCTGTAACCGGCTGGTCAATGTGGGATTGAGAGTCATATTGGATGAGGTAACAGTTCTGCTCTCATCAACCCGAAATGCCTTGATAGTCCTGAGAACATAGTAGCAAAGGAATGTTTTGTAGAACTTACCATTCTGTCATAGAAATTAGCACGGGTTCATATTATTTCATTAAAAAGTACCTGGCGTACCATAATGCTACGTGTTGCAGTATCTCAAAAGAAGACAAAACGTGGAAAGGTAGGTGCAGCAGGTGGATTGTCCAACGGATTAGCAGGGGCAGCCGTGGAAAGCAAAGGGTGTGTATACGGATTGAGGAGGAGCTCCTGATTGAGAACGAAAGGATTCAGAAAGAAATGGCTCGACATTTATTCTGGAGCCGGCACTGACATGTCTCTTAGTCTCTACAGATGCTTACACAAGAAATGGACTCACCTCTCCAGATTGTCTCAGTGTGCGACACGCCTCACACTGGAACTGTGCCATGAGTTCATACACTGAAACTGTGATCCAGATTCAAACAAACTAACAAACCGAGTGCCACGAACGAAGAAAAAGCCATGCCTTCACCGAAACTCTTACTCAGTGCTCATTTCGCATTTGCAGGAACCCCACATGAAGAATGTGACACAATTCTTATTTAGCAATGTCCCATCCTTCAAAAATTTGTACAGGGTCAGGAATTTGAAGGCCATTGAACAACAATTTGGGCTGGGCTGGGTTTAGGGGGGGGGAGGAATCACTCCATGCTGCCACGTGGCGTTGTCCAAGCGGCTTAGATGACAACTCCCTTATCTGCTCACTTGGAGAATTCGAAAGGTGACCGGAAGACCGGCCAAGCCCGCGACCAGGCTTCCCTCCTCGCTCGTCGCCATGCCCCTCACCATACAATCGTGTCGCTCGTGTAATCAGATTGGGAATCGCAGGTATTCGCCCCAATTTGTGCAAAATTTGTCGAATTTCCTCACCAGCTTGAATTTCTCTGCTGGCTCCCGTTAGTTACGTGATCACGCAGAGTAGACCCAGTTTTAGTTTTGCAAGTTCTCGGCAATCTTACGTTTGGATACGGTCTTTTGGGATTCGAGAAGTCTGGCAGTTTGGTTGGAGATTCATCGCGGGAATTAGTGTTGGTAGTGTAATTGAGGATTCCCCGTAGAGTGAGTTTGTTAGAACTTGGGTCGTGAGCAGAGATGGTGGTTGCTACAGTTCTGCAATCGGCTCAGGCGTCGTTGGCGGCCGCTTCGACGAGCCGGCTTGGGGCAGCTGGGTTTCGCAAGGAGGGATCACTTGGAGCGCAATGCAGGCACCGAAGCATCGGTGTGGTCGGTGGGCATCGACCTTGCTCCATTCGCGCTGCTGCGGGGACGTGCTCCAAGGTACGGTTCCAATTCCTCTTAATGCAATGCTCTCGAGAGAAACAATCTCAAACCCCAGTTTCAATTGCGACGGCTCCATGCTCACCTTTCACCATAGACTGCGATGTGCGCACACGCGCCTCCAGTGAACCGTCTAATTCTATCTTGGGCCCTCGAGGAGGTGGATGCCATGTACACTACAACTCTGAGCTCTATTGTTTAAGTCTCTTCAGCGACAAGCTCCGTGCACCGTAGTCAATGCAATTCTTCGTTCGAGCGGCAGTTAGGATGCTGAAAATGTAGATAAGATTGGAGGGTTTTTGAAACATAGCTGAATGAAGCGTCCTTTTCTGTCCATTCATGTTAAGTTGGGCAATTCTGTATGTGACCATCTTCGTGTTATTCGGGATATGTATGGGCATCGCCGTTCCCGAGTATGCTCACTGGAAAGATTTCAGTGTATGTTGGTCGGTCCTAATCAGCATTGCTCCACGGGAACAAATTTTCGATGTTCCTCATCCGTGACAGAGTTAAGGGACAACACTTCAGGTTGATGATTAAAGTCCGCTTGAAGCCACTGCTTTAAGGTTTTGCTAACGTCGTAGAGTGACTTAACTTTGGTATGCCATACTATGGAAATCATACTGTCAATATCTGTCCCTTAGTCGTTATCATATATAACTTAAAAATAAATGTATTAGAACTATTTTTAACAGCATGCGAATTCCTGTGCTGCTGTGATGGATTGAGGCGTGGATTGACGCTGCGGACCTCAATGTGTGGGTTCAAGTTGGATTCAGGCAACTTCATACTCACAGAGCTTTAATGATGATACCACTTTCTCAGGATGACCAAGTCCTGCCAAACGCTGTCACTAAAGCGCTCCAAAAATGCGCTACGTGCGTGGCTGTAGCAGCCGCACTGCTCATGCCCCTGTCTGCAACAGCTGCTGATGTCGCCTTCGAAAGGGGTCCAGTCATCCCTGAATTGAGTGTTTTGATTTCAGGCCCTCCCATTAAGGACGCTAATGCACTGCTACGCTACGCCCTCCCTATCAACAATAAAGCCATTAAAGAGGTCCAAAAGTCTCTTGAAGAGATTACTGACGAGATGAAGGTGCCAGGCGAGAAAGCGCTTGGTCCAGTGGAAAGGGTATAGTTTCTTGTCATTACTGAATCTTTCAAGTATAATTTCATCTTCTAAGCTTCTTTCTGGTTCCGTAAGAAATGGGTGTCAGCTTATAGGAGGTTTCCATTTCTAATGGTTGCATTTTGTCATGAACAATGCATCGACTCTCACATCGTTGTGGCTGTGAAACTGTGATGGATACATTCTGACAAATAAACAGCGGTGAGGGATTGTGCAGAGTGTGCGACAGGCGGCACGGTTATTCACTCAGAATAAGGCGCAAATCCTTGCAGATTTAGCGCCCGCGAAAAAGCAGGAGGGTGAGCAGGTTCTGAATCTTCTTAGTGACGGGCTTCAAGACTACCAAAAACAGTTGGAGTCGAAGGATCGGAGTATTGTTTTCCCAAAGCAGAAGGAACTTCTTCGCATAGTTGGCGAGTAAGTGTCTTTCCTGGCATCTCACTGTTCTGAAAACTTGGCTATTCAGAATTGCACTCGTGAACCAAACAACAAAGTCTAAATTCTTTCTATCACTGCTTTCTTCAATTCTCTTTTTATTTCAACTACTCGCTCCATATCAACTGTGTTTCTCCGTGTAACCGCCCCTTTACTAACTATGTTTGCTTGTCTCCTTTGGAGAGCCCCTTCAGGAACCCTTTGAAAGAGTACGATCATGTTGGATTATCATGGAATTGATGAATAGATGATGTTTATTCTAGCTTCTTCGTGATTGAGTTTTTACATGTGATGCGTTTTCATTGGTGTCAGCGATGCTATGTGCGCAGCGTTGAAGAGGCTATGGTAGACAAATTTCCCTATGAAATTCCTGAGGAGTTTGCCAACAAACCACTTCTCAAGGGACGAGCTACTCTGGAGATGAAAATCAACGTCAAAGATAACCCGAACGTGAAAGACGCAATTCTCCAAATCGTACTCGATGGATACAACGCCCCTGTCACTGCTGGCAATTTTATTGACCTTGTTGAGCGCAAATTTTACGATGGCATGGAAATCCAACGATGTGGGTGATGCACACCAAGTTAATGCTCAAGAATCATGTCTTTCTAATAGGCAGCATTGCAGCTTGTATGTTCGAGTACTCTCTTCTATTAGTAATCCAATTATTTTTTAATCAAGGTGTCTCGTCTATGTAGAGAACATATGACCACCTTTGGCGCGGTGTGTGGCTTGTGTTATTGATCAGCTGTTTTGCTCTGTTTCAGCGGATGGATTTGTGGTACAAACTGGAGACCCTGAGGGACCCGCTGAAGGTTTTGTAGACCCAGCTACGGGCAAAGTCCGCACGGTTCCATTGGAGATTATGGTGGACGGTGAGAAGGAGCCCATCTACGGTGCCACTCTTGAGGTATGGGACTTGCAACTCCGTGTTTACCTTGAAAAATGTTTTACTGGGTGAGAAGATAGTTGCTAACCTTAATTGGTTTACTTATGTCGTTTGCTCAACTTATTGCAGGAACTTGGCAAGTACAAGGCAACTACGACACTGCCATTCAACGCATTCGGCACCATGGCAATGGCACGGGAGGTACAAATCATTGATCATGGCCAACCATTTCTTGTGAAGGGATTTATGAACTATTGGGAAGAGAGAGTAACAGTAGCTGAGCTTGGCACCATATGGGAGTTCTTGCGATGACATCCTCTGACTTGGATTATTTTTTGCAGGAATTTGATAATGATTCGGGATCCAGTCAAGTGTTTTGGCTGCTGAAGGAAAGTGAATTGACACCTAGCAGCGCTAACATCCTTGACGGCCGTTACACAGTCTTCGGTTACGTGACTGAGAACGAAGAGTTGCTAGCCGACCTTAAGGTCGGTGACGTCATCGAGAGCATACGTGTAGTCAATGGCTTGGATAACCTGGTAAATCCAAGTTACAAAGTGGGTGCAGCCTAGACTCCTGTAATTGTAAACCCATTTTTGTCAAGATGAAAGAGTAAATCTTCTATTTATCTTCCACGTTTACTGGTGTACACTTTTGTTTAATAAAACGATGTCGAATCTTCTACATTTCATGTAGAATGATTGTTTGAAGTCAGTGCTCTTGCATGGTACACTTCCGGTGCCGCTACAAAGTGACCAGGCAATATTGTTTTTGTCCGATTTACAGATTTAGGACGAAACTGCATCCTTCAAGCAACCAGAGTTTAATTCCATGCCTGTGAAAGACTAATGCAATTACACCAAACGAGTAATAATACTGAATGTACTCAGCGACAAGTATCTGCATCCACAGGCCACCTGCATTACAAACAAACATGTGCAGCCCCTTCGGTGAAAACCCTGACTTCTGGTACTAATTCTCTCATAAGTGTTCATTAGCGAATTAGTTCAATTCAATAGAGCCTTTCTCAGCATGTGGAGAAGAATGCTGTGAATAGGACTGATACTGGAGTTTTGTTGCATTGGTGTCATCTGTGGGGAAACTTTGTTTCAACTCGTTTGATTCCTGTTGATATTTTGTGAACATTCTACTACACTTAGGGCGAAACTGAACCCCTCGTGTACAACTAGTTTATGGAACCCTTCCTCTCTCTTCACATGGGTTGTTTGACAGAGTTGCAGTTCCTTCTAATGTTTTCCTCTCCTGTGAGCATTCATCATTCACTAACCCATGTAATTACTGTGAATTCTATGCAGAACTGAACGTTTATTCCCCTGCCGTGAGCTTGAACTGAACTCATTGGTTGGGATCCTTGGCTCCTCGGTCCATGAGATGCACTGATTATGGTTTTAAAATGAGGTACAAAAAGTGGCAACAGGGTTAGCTGTTGCTTTGCTACAGCAGGAAAGGGTTGTAAAATAGAGAACTGGCCTTGAATAGGAGTATAGCCATTCAATTAATTGAAAAAAAGAAGCTAAAGAACTAGCATGTCTAGCACCTCATGCCAAAGCCATACCAGGAGTAGAATTTATAATACAATGTTCCTTGTGACATGCATGTCTGCTCATTGTTTTCTATTAGGATCTTTGTTATTCTGATGGATTTTCCTTTCTTTGTTTATGTTTGTCTTTTTGATGTTCATAACTTGTCCTAACAGATTCTACCTAATATATTTTTGTGATTACTCAAATCCTAATTGATATGAATAAGTCAACTAATGGAAAAACTATCAATGAATGAAAAAATATTAACCAAATTAAACTACATATATCCAACGGGGTTTGGCACCCAATGCCATATCATGTAATAGCTGTTGTGTAAACAAAGGTTGTTACACACAACATATTGATTGCTACCAAGCAATGATAAAGTATGTAATTTAAACCAAATACAAATGCATACACAATACACTCTCTAGTACCCTCCCTCCTAGTTGATTAGAAGCCCCTCCAATCAACTAAGACTATAAAACACACATCATTGAAGATGAACACCACTATGATATGAATGCCAAACTGTACTCCTCCAAACTAGTATTGTAACAGTTAGGCCACCAAAGGGTATGATACATTCAATAGAAGAAATCTTCAATCCTTATCAAGAGATGAGGCATAACTAGAAGACTTCTTACAATAAAGACAAATCCAATCTTGTGATGGGAGAGTCAAAAGAAGTGGTATCAAACATGCCATATGCCACCCATGTTGGCATTGATTATATAAAAGCATAGTAGCATTTTTTTTTTTTTTAACCACATATAAAATAAAGAAGACCAATTGGCACAACTATCAATTTAGGATGTATAGAGTCATCAATAGGAAGATGATAAAGAGCACAATTCTTTGAATGTTCTTGACATTCTTATCCATCCTTGCCTTTTAACAACAAAATACTACTAGGCAACATATTCTTTATATATAGAATTGTGCACCTTACCTTAACATCAAGTGTTGTAGCTACTTCATGTTACAAATACACAATTTCTATTAGAAAATCTTTGCAATTGGGATTGATAAGCTCGACTACAAATGCAAGCATATCGCTAAGTATCTCAATGTTGAGTAATAGCTAAGTTTTCTATATCCATAGACATGGCTTATTTAAAGAACTTTGCTCGGTCATATAGACATTGAATCCAAACATCAAGTTCATTTAGGTTTATAATTAGAACTAGCTTCTCATGTACTAAGCGTGATAGAATTGAGTCTCTTCTATATAATAATTAGTAAGGACTATAAGATACTAAAGATGCTTGTCTACTAAAAAAATAATCCATTGCAATCCATAACAAGATTAAGTCCTAATCAAGATGGTTGCCATAAAATAATTCATATCTTTGTAATCCACTTTTGACAGTCTACACAACCCACTATCGTAATACATGAAGTCTTGCTTGAGAATGCTCCAGGCACTTGGCTTTGGAAGGTAGAATAGAAATTATAACAACAAAATTCTAATTCTAATAGAATAGTAACTAAAGTCTAATTAAATCATAAAAATACTAAACAAATTTTAATCAAATTCAAAGAAACCTCAAAGGAATTACAAAGAAACAATAAAAAAGCTTAAAGAAATATTAGAATGATCACAAATATATCTCAAATACATCTCAATTCAATCTTAATTTAATCCTAGTTAAAATCCTATTGGACTTCATTCAAACTTTAAGCCAAAAACTAACTAAATCTTAAATCCTAAACACATCCTAAACAAACTATAATAAAATCTTAAACCCTAAATCAAACCCTCAACAAATCGTAAATCATAACCCTAAATCAAACCTTAATCAAATCCTAAATTCCAAATCAAATCCTAATCAAATCTTGAATCCTAAATCAAACCCTAATCAAATCCTAATCAAATCTTAAATCCTAAACCAAAACCTAACCAAATCCTAACCAAACCCTAAATCCTACACCAAATCCTAAATCCTAAACCAAATCCTAATAATTCCTATAATAGATTTAAACCTCAATTACTACTGAATGAACTATTGATCTATTCAAAATTTTCAGACTTCTTAATAATTAAATTGACAATAAGTACAAAAAATTTGAAAAGGATTGGAATTACCAAATAGGCAATAGCCTCAAAAACGTGCTTGGGTATTGATTGGCCTCCTTCTCCAACCTTGATGTTGATCTCCTAGAGCCAATATCTCTTCTTTTCACCGTTCGATTGATCTTAAAATTTTTATATACAAAAAAAAACAAGTATAATATCCTTACATACAAATTTCACTCCAATCCAACTAATAGATTGCAAGAAATCTTAAAATCCTCATTAGACTTAAAATTCTACTTTCTAAGACCTTGACCCACTTAAACCTCAATAATCCTCAATTTAATTGTTAGATCAAGCTAAGATTCACAAAACATATTAAACACAACTATGACCAATAATCCACAAAATTTCACTTATAGATCTATTACAAAACTCTTGAAATTATCCAAAATATCAATTCTATTTTATTTCACAAAACCCAAGTCATCCAAAAACAAACTTGACTTTGTAAAGCTCTTACAAAGTCATTACGAATTGAAATTGCTCAAAACCAATACTCATAAAAATCTGATCTAGTCTGCTATGAAATTCCGCTCTTTGATGTGCAAAAGAGCCTTCCAGTTGCCGTAGGTGCTTGGTTTTGTGCCTTAGGGTCTGATTTCGACCTAGATTGTTAACTGGCCCTCTTCGAGTATCAAATTTTATCTTTTTAAGTTAATTTTTGTTAAAATCAATTCCTAACTTCATCTTATAAATGCTCATATCTTTTATTTTCCTAATCTACTTTATTTTGCCTCATTTATGGTCCAACAAAATAAGTAGAAGTTACTTTTTTTAAAAAGCTACATTACTTCTAAAAGTTTTACTACCTTCCTATCTTTAATCCATATTTTTTTCTACTTTATATTTTAACTTGGCTCTTCTATAATAAGATCCATATTATCTTCTTTCATCATATACTTATGTTATAACATGACACTACTCAGCTATGCCATTTGTCTCAAGAAACTTTCTAGATAGAGTATAATGATATATCAAAGCTTTAGTACATAAAGCTTCAAAAGTTTCAAAAAAATCTCTTCCTTGATCTATTAAGAATTTATTAGGTGCTCCAAAACATGCTAATATTTGATCAAGAAAAGCCATAGCTACCAATTGTAAAGAGTTTTGTGGTAAAGCCACAAATTTCAATCTACTTGCTAAAATACTCTACTATCATTAACACGTTGTCGTGTTGTAACACGAGTATACAGTGAAAATATAAAGAAAGGGGACTTTTATTAATGTTCAGTTACCTCGAATATTGGGAGCAACGACCAACTTCAGTACAAATACTGAGTGGCCATGTACAGTCACCTCGTTACAGTCAGCCGGGGCATACTGAAATGCTCCGTTCGATTCCAATAACGGGAGTCAGCAGGAAGAGAAAGGACCAATTCACACGACGGGTGAGCCTGGTTCGAAGAGCCAATTGGATCCAATTTCGAGAATCCAATCCGGGTCCTCTTATCTAATATGAGACCTAAATTGGCCGGGCAACCCAATGCAGTATAATTACGGGAAAATCCAGGTCTTACTACGGGCCTCAGCCAATCTTACACGAAGGACCAATTTGATCCAATTATGGGAAAATCTGGGTCTTACTACTGGACTCTTATCCAATATGAGACCTGAATTGGTCGAGCGACTCAATGTGGTCCCGATTACGGGGTTTCGATTCTGTTTCAGGCTGTCTTGTTCTTTGTGCCATTTCAGGGAACTTTGTTTTCAGTAAATGGATTTCTTAAAGGTAAAAACGGAGGAGAAAGCTCTGATGACGAGAGCCAATTTTGGATCTAAGCCTTGATGGCGAGAGTCAATTTCGGATCTAAGCTTGACGGTGGGAGCCAATTCCGGATCTAAGACGGAAGATTGAAGAAATTCAGAAGATAAGGTTAGGGGAGAGAATAGTTTTGGGGGGAGTTTTTTTTGAGGGATCAGAGAGCTAGCTTCATGCTTCGGGGTCGGGGAAGAAAAGACAGAGAATTGGGTTTTTCTTCTTCATAGAGTTTTGGGAAGACTGAGGCAATCGTTGTTGAAGTCAGTGTTGTAATGATGAATCGGGATTTTTAATGAAGTGGGTTTGATTACTCTTGACTGTTTTGTGAAAT